ACAATCATCTCAATCTTTCAGTCTACTTTTTTTCCTTTTCTGCACAGCTGAGGACACACACAATAAAAAAAATCATTTTGTCAAAGTCTATAGGATTACAGATCCCACAGATCTGATCTGATCTGATCTTTGTCTCAATGCTTCAGGGAGTCTCTCAGACTAAGACTCACTTTTTTTTATTTACTCCTTCAGAGAAATTCTGGTTCCAGTAGCTTATATAGAGCACAAAAGCAAGATGCCATTAAAGATAAAAATATAACAGACAAAATAAAATGTATATATAGTACAAAAAAGCATTAAAATGTCCTGAAATATTTTTCCTATATATATATATATAGGTGCTGGTCATAAAATTAGAATATCATGAAAAAGTAGATTGATTTCAGTAATTCCATTTAAAAAGTGAAACTTGTATATTATATTCATACATTACATACAAACTCATATATTTCAGATGTTTATTTTGTTTAATTTTGATGATTACAAATGACAACAAATGAAAATCTCAAATTCATCATATCAGAAAATTAGAATATTACTGAAGACCAATAAAAACAAAGGATTTATAGAAATGTTGGCCAACTGAAAAGTATGAACATGAAAAGTATGAGCATGTACAGCACTCAGTATTTAGTTGGGCCTCCTTTGGCCTGTATTACTGCAGCAATGCGGCGTGGCATGGAGTCGATCAGTCTGTGGCACTGCTCAGGTGTTATGATAGCCCAGGTTGCTCTAATAGTGGCTTTTAGCTCTTCTGAATTGTTGGGTCTGGTGTATTGCATCTTCTTCTTCACAATACCCCATAGATTTTCTATGGGGTTAAGGTCAGGAGAGTTTGCTGGCCAATTAAGAACAGGGATACCATGGTCCTTCAACCAGGTACTGGTAGCTTTGGCACTGTGTGCAGGTGCCAAGTCCTGTTGGAAAATGAAATCTGCATCTCCAAAAAGTTGGTCAGCTGCAGGAAGCATGAAGTGCTCTAAAACTTCCTGGTATGTGGCTGCGTTGACCCTGGACCTCAGAAAACACAATGGACCAACACCAGCAGATGACATGGCACCCCAAACCATCACTGACTGTGGAAACTTCACACTGGACTTCAAGCAACGTGGATGAAGTGCCTCTCTTCTTTTCCTCCAGACTCTGGGACCTTGATTTCCAAAGGAAATGCAAAATTTACTTTCATCAGAGAACATGACTTTGGACCACTCACCAGCAGTCCAGTCCTGTTTCTCTTTAGCCCAGGCAAGACGCTTCTGACGCTGTCTGTGGTTCAAGAGTGGCTTGACACAAGGAATGCGACAGCAGAAACCCATGTCTTTCATACGTCTGTGTGTGGTGGTTCTTGAAGCACTCACTCCAGCTGCAGTCCACTCTTTGTGAATCTCCCCCACATTTTTGAAGGGGTTTTGTTTCACAATCCTCTCCAGGGTGCGGTTATCTCTCTTGCTTGTACACTTTTTTCGACCACATCTTTTCCTTCCCTTCGCCTCTCTATTAATGTGCTTGGACACTGAGCTCTGTGAACAGCCAGCCTCTTTAGTGATGACCTTTTGTGTCTTGCCCTCCTTGTGCAAGGTATCGATGGTCGTCTTTTGGACAACTGTCAAGTCAGCAGTCTTCCCCATGATTGTGTAGCCTATAGAACTAGACTGAAAGACCATTTAAAGGCTTTTGCAGGTGGTTTGAGTTAATTAGCTGATTAGAGTGTGGCACCAGGGGCCATCAATTTTGAACCTTTTCACAATATTCTAATTTTCTGATATGATGAATTTGAGATTTTCATTTGTTGTCATTTGTAATCATCAAAATTAAACAAAATAAACATCTGAAATATGAGTTTGTATGTAATGTATGAATATAATATACAAGTTTCACTTTTTAAATGGAATTACTGAAATCAATCTACTTTTTCATGATATTCTAATTTTATGACCAGCACCTGTATATATATATAGTACTCTATATATTTATATTTATATATATATATATATATATATATATATATATATATATATATATATATATATATATATATATATATATATATATATATATATATATATATATATATATATATATATATACATATATATATAGGTGTTGCCATCAACACCTCAACACCTTTGTTTATAGATGTTGGAGATTGGCCTGTTTTTCAGTGTAGTCCTGTTTCTCTGACTGTGACTGGCTGGATGTGCTCTCTTCATCCTTAGAGCTACAATGACGGATGCTGATTAAAACAACAAGCATCGAATTTAGGGTTCGGATTAAAAACAAAAAAAAAGCAATAAAATAAATGAAGAAAAAGGCACAGGCGCCTTATATTACATACGTTTGTTGTGAATTGGCATTATAGAAATAAATAGAATTTAATTAAACCTCACAATGCAGGTTAGAATTATAAAAATAGAAGCTTACTGACTACTTTAAAGACCGGTCAAAGTGACTGAAGACTGCTGCCTATGTTTTAAATATATGCAGCATTGGCTGGTATTACATTCAAATGTTTGTGCAGGACGTGGACTGAATTACTCACCTGTTGGCTTAGCGGCCTAAATTCTGGAGAACTTCTCCACCTGGACCCACATGAAGATCAGAGTTCCGAAGGATGGCGGGCTGGAGAGGTAAATCAAGGAACTGTGTCCAGATTGTTAAATCAGACATCATTTATCTTTCCTTTTAGTCTCATCCTATGATGTTTGAATCCAGGGGAGATACGTTTGTGGCCTGTTTTCCTACATATGTACCATTTCAAAATTCAACATTTCTTAAAACTGATATCACTAAAATATTTCATCCACCCATTTTTTGATATTATGCACATTTTGTTGCTGAACAAGTGGGTTTTATTATCTGCATTTGTTACACATTGGATTATATCCATTCCAGTTCAAAATCTAAAACAATCAAGAGTTGTCCAACTTGATTTTTATTAATAAAAAGCCACATTTGTTATATGTTGTACCTTTAAAGAAAATTTTATCTAAAAACATATTGCAGCTGCATTAGTGTCCTTTTATTGGGATAATATAGCGCTTTAACCTGGTGATGGGTCCAGCAAAACTAGTTCCGGCTCATGTCCCTTGTGTTCATTAGTGCATCTGTCAATGCAACGCATTTGCCAAAGAAATCTCCCACCTTTTGTAGAGTACTGTCAAATTAATTAAAAAATATGGAGCAGCTTCAGGGCAAAAGAAAGTTCTCAGCCATGTGGGAACATTTTGATCTCAGTTTTTATTTCAATTTTCTTGTGTCATCCTGTTTCAGTTATCACTCAACTTATCTGAATCCAAATAGACTCATAGTTTGCTGTTCATACTGTACTTATTATTTTAAATAAATAAATCCTAGTCTACAAACATCCTTATTAACATGTTCACTTACATCTTCCAGTTATATGTTCATATTTATAAATTGCAACTAAAATAAACATATTTTCAATTTTGAAAAAGATAGGAAATATTACATCATAGCAGAAAATTGATTAATCAGTTTAGTCTGTTAGAGGCTGCCTGTAGTGATTTTAAATGTCCAGCAGGTGTCAGTATTTAGTGACACAGGATCAATAGTTTGCCAGTGTGTTGAAACGCTTCATGGACCCATCACTACTTGGTGACAAAACTAACAACTTGTGCTTTGTTTTTCATCTCTTTTATCCAGAGATACAAAGAACCACAGGTTCCAGACATCTTGGCAACAAATTATTTAATTAATCTTCCAATGTTGAACCTAGTTTTACAGAATTGCTAAAATGTCAGTCTGTAAACTCTGATTTTTAATTTGTTAAAAGGTTTAAATCTATTTATCTATTTCCTCCCCACTGCAGAATGTCACACTAAGCTAAAGCTGTGGTCTCATTTGGTTAATAAACATGCAAAGCCCAATCTCTAATGCAGTAAATCCAAAATATGATAAAAAAAAATATGAACAAATCCATTAGGATCGCAGTGTTTGGGCTGCAGGGTGGTGGAGTGCTTGCTTTCTGAAGGGATCAGTGGTCTGCTTTCTCTTATTTAACCATACTTACAGTAGGCCTATTACTACTAGTCCAAAAATAAATATATATTTGTATCTCCATCTTATTTTAAACGAACATATGAATGTACAATATAACATTGACTGACCTAAATTATATCAGGCCTATATCTGACCAGGTCGTGGTGTTGGTTGTCTACAAAAAGGCCGCCTTTAGGGATCTTCAAGGACCAAGAGGTGTCAGTATTGAGTGACAGGACCAACGCAGTATCAACAGTTCAGCAAAATGCTTAATGACATTTTAACAACCCATCACTAAACACAACTAGACAAATTGAGCTGTTAAAAACAACTGACTGCTGCAGGTATCTGTTAAGTCAAGACAATAACTTAACTTTATTTACTTTATTCACATTGGAGAAATTTACCTCTGTATTTAACCCATCCCCTTGGGGAGCAGTGGGCTGCCATTGAGCGGCGCCTGGGAAGCAGTGTGGGTTTAAGGGTCTTTGCTCAGAAAGCCAGAGTGGCAGTCTGTGGGAGTGGGACTCAAACTCAGAACCTCAGAATTCCAAGCTCTATGCTCTAACCACTTCCTTAACGCACATTTCGAATACTTCCTATGGATTGCTGTTTAGAAATAGCACATTTTTCTATATATCATAACTGGAATTTCCATATTTAATGAAAATCAGACAACGGTTTGACATTAGTTTGATGACAGATCCAAGTTGATAAGAACAGCATGGTTTTCCTGACATAGCAACCTTAGCCATAGCAACTTATAGGGCTGTCCTATCCAGTAATATACATCAACTAGTGCACCCAATCAAATGTGACAGGTCAGGTTTTGGTTTCTACCGACATCCTGCGAAGAACAATGGATTACAATCAGGTCTGACTGTTTTTTTTTTTTTTTTTTTTTTATCAGTTTCCAGGTATTTAGGTGTGTCAAGAAGGGAGTCAACTGTTAACTCTGTGATGATGTGACTGGTGTGAATACAAAAAGACAAGGTGACTGATTATTTCTGGGCTGGATATATTTTTACTAGGAGAGAAGCTGCAGGTTGTCTGCCGGCAGCATGAAGGAAAGACTGAATTTACACTGAAGCCGAAAGGCCTCCTGGGTGGACCGAGAGTCCAGGTTACAACTTCCTCCATGATCAGAGTCCACTGATTTCATGCAGAGAGCAGAAGGATCCCAGCTGTCAGTCATACACAGCTCTACTGTACACACTCATATACATCATAAAACACTTTGGTTTGGTTAAAATAAACAGTGAGAATGAAAACATCAACATTTCATTGCTTAAAAAGGTTAAATTAGAACAAATTAAAAACTGTTCAACAGCAAAACAAACACCAAGACCTCAGACCAGTCCAGCTGTACAGTATCTACACACAGACAGGAGTCTGATAGGTCCACCACCAGCCAATCAGAGAGCACCCAGCCACCGGTGGTGACAAGTAGGAGTCAGTTGTTTCACATTTTTTTTTCCTATTACAGATTAGCAAAATAAACCAGAACAGAGCGAATAGAGAAACAAGTACAAGATCAGATTAGGTCTAACCAAGTTAAACTAGATCAAACCAGAACCAAACAGATTTCAATGTGTCAAAGAAAAACAGATGAAGTTAAATAGTGCTAAATGGGACCGACCTAGATTAGAGTCCATTTGATTTAACTGGACAAAACTGAACCCCCCCCCCAAAACAGATCTTATCTGTGTAAAACTTATAAAAAGGGTCAGAACTCATCTGATTATGAAAACGATTGGGAATAAAAAATGATTATTCTGATTAGAAGGCAGGATGGACAAACGAGCCTAAGATGTACTTGATGCCCCGCCCCTCTGAGGCAGTGGCCACAACTCATCTGTTCTCATCAACTACTCAGAACCCAGCTTGGTTTTAACGGTGAGGAGATGAGATTGCATTTGAGTCAAACAAAGACGAGTCCCAGAAATGATAGCTGCCATGACAACCAATCACCAGCCTTTGAGGGGAGAATGGACCAATCAGGGGTCTTCTCCCAGGTGGGATTTTATTGCTGGTGCTCTGAATCAGCTGCTTCCTATTATCTATCCATACTGACGTCACTCTGAGATGAGCTTCAACCAATCAGAGCAGCCAACAAACTAAAAAGATGTAGTGCAGTTGGAGCGAGGCTCCGCCCCCTGATGGCGGTGGTAGATTATTGATCAGAGGTGAGGATGTGCTACAGGTGCTGGTGAGGGACATTTTGAGAGGAACAAAGGACATTTGTAAACACACATTTACATCGGGGGCGTGGTCACTGCAGACCACGCCCCTCTACGGAGCAGTGAGCTTGTCTTGAGGGCTGCTGCTACTACTGCTGCTGCTGCCATTGTTGTTGTTGTTGTCATGGCCACCAGGTGACATCATACCACTCTGTGTCCTATCAGAGGCCTTAGGGGTGGAGTCTTTGTCTCCAGAAGCCGACTGGGCGGGACCCGGTGTGGACAGTGAGGAAGTGCGGGACAGAGTGGGGCGGTAGGCCGCGTTCAGCTCCGCCAGACGCTCTGGTGTCGGAGCCCACTTAGCGAATCCGGCGTCATTCTGGAGGAAAATCACCGCGGTACCATGAACGGCCCGGTAGTACATCTCATCCCTGAAAACAGAACAATCGATAAGAGGATGTATAAATGGAAAATCTTTCAGACAAGCCGAAGCGCCCCACTCTCATTAAGTTAAAACTTAAAAGCTAAATCTGCCAGTGGTATTAATTATGTTGGACTTCACACACGTCCTTAAAGAGTTTAATAACCGTTTCCTCTTAGACAGCCTGGTTCTGTCAGATCAGAACCAGAACACAGTATTAGTGAGGTAGAACCAGTACCGCTTGCAGACGTGCTGACTCCCAGAGCGGTACTCGTGCTCATAGGCTTGAATGGTCAGCTGGTGGCGGCGGAATCGACTAGCCTCCATCCGGGTCAGGGCCGGAGTCACTGGGTTACGCCACTCAGGGATGAAGACGACGAAGGACAGAGGCTCGGAAGACTGACTCAACAGTTCCTGAAAGAGAACCCAAACCATTAAGACCAGCATCCAGAACAGACCAAGATAACACAGTATGAATTGGGTCTCACCTCAAAGTGGGTCACCATGGCGTCCATCAGCTCCTCACAGAATGGAGGATTGGCTTCAAATGAGCCACTGACTGGACTGAAGGACAGGAAGGGCCTGAAACACACCAGTTAGTCAGACTGGTTACAGACCATCAGCACCATGGGAAACCTACAGACATTCACAGACACACTGGAGGAGTCCCGAAGAAGTTCCCAGCCCCAATAACCCAATCCCAGTTGCCGTCTCACCCTCTGGATCCGAAGAAGCCATCAATGTCAGGGAAGGCGGAGCAGAACTGTTTAAAGTAGCAGTTAAGCGGCGAGGCGAAACACTCGAAGGTGACGCCAAAGTGTCGATTCAATGCCTCGAATACCGCCACCGGCAGCGCCCCCTGTAAACCGGTCCCTTCATGAACTCCACTGCCAAACATTGCCTAGAGAAACAAGCACCTGGTTAACCAAGGCATCACTGCAAACACATACCGACGCTGGGCCCGCGGAGAGTCAGCTCACCTGGTATCTCTTGAGGAGGCACCAAACTCTGGCCAGGAACTTCTCAAACCGAGAGTCATCAATACAGCTGTACCTGTACAGCAACTCCTAGCATAGACAGATGAGATGAGGGAGACAGGTAAGGAAAGGCAAGGCAGGTGGGAACAGGTAGAGATAGGCAGGATAGGTGTGAACACGGAGAGGAGGAGCACGTTTTACCCCATCTCCAAAAAAAATCAGAATCAAGACCTGGAATCGGAAAGACTTCAAATTGATCAACTCTAGTTCCTAAAGAATGCAACAAAAGCTCTCCTGGTGGCAGCGGTGTTAAAGCTTTACTGAACACCTCTAATGACAGTTACATCCGTTATTACTTCTGTAAACAACACTGCTGTTTGACATCTACATTCTTCTTCTGCAACGCAGGTCAATTTAGGGGTCGTAAACTCCTCAAAACGACCCAGAGGAAAAAACCCACCGGATTTCAGCTCAGAGTCAGAAATAAGCATGAATACATTACATGCACTGTGACCAGTCATTAACCGACCTCGCATGAGGAAGGTCTCCCTGGTCCAACCAAGGTTACGCTGTTCGTTCCACTCGGATTACTGAGGAGTATTAATGGTAGTATTCAGAAAACATAACTAACCAGCTTGCTGAAGTGTCCTCTGTTAATTTTCAGCATCTCTCCTCTGAAGCGAAGACATGCCATGTCGTTCTCAAAGTGCAGCTCCACCCGGGGCAAGGTGGGGGTCGGGATCGAAAGGCGAACCGGGTAACAGTAGACGAGCCGCGACTGAGGCGTTGACGTTTCTGCACAAAAAGAACAGGTATACATCTGATCAGTACCAGCAGGATAATACACAGGGTGGTGCGGTCCTGTAGTGAACTAGAGTGCTTGTTTACCTATGTAAGGTTACTGTAGTGAAATAGGTGTGTGCGTTTACCTGTCGAGGGGTCCTGTAGTGAACTAGATGTGTGTGTTTACCTATTTAGGGTTACTGTAGTGAACTAGTGTGCGTGTTTACCTATGTAAGGTTACTGTAGTGAACTAGATGTGTGTGTTTACCTATTTAGGGTTACTGTAGTGAACTAGTGTGCGTGTTTACCTATGTAGGGTTACTGTAGTGAACTAGGTGTGTGCGTTTACCTGTCGAGGGGTCCTGTAGTGAACTAGGTGTGTGTGTTTACCTGTGGAGGGGTCCTGTAGTGAACTAGGTGTGTGTGTTTACCTGTGGAGGGGTCCTGTAGTGAACTAGGTGTGTGTGTTTACCTGTGGAGGGGTCCTGTAGTGAACTAGGTGTGTGTGTTTACCTGTGGAGGGGTCCTGTAGTGAACTAGAATGTGTGTGTTTACCTGTGGAGGGGTCCTGTAGTGAACTAGGTGTGTGTGTTTACCTGTGGAGGGGTCCTGTAGTGAACTAGGTGTGTGTGTTTACCTGTGGAGGGGTCCTGTAGTGAACTAGGTGTGTGTGTTTACCTGTGGAGGGGTCCTGTAGTGAACTAGAATGTGTGTGTTTACCTGTGGAGGGGTCCTGTAGTGAACTAGGTGTGTGTGTTTACCTGTGGAGGGGTCCTGTAGTGAACTAGAATGTGTGTGTTTACCTGTGGAGGGGTCCTGTAGTGAACTAGGTGTGTGTGTTTACCTGTGGAGGGGTCCTGTAGTGAACTAGAATGTGTGTGTTTACCTGTGGAGGGGTCCTGCAGCAGGTTCAGGTGTGTCTGTCTCAGGCGGCGGCTGTAGTCGGCTGAAAGCTGGTAGATCTTGGAGCAGATTCCTTCCACGGAGTCTTTGGCGACAGCAGTGACGTGAGGCCCACACTGCTGCCTCAGGTGTTCCAGGCGGTCCTGGAGACACGAGGCATAGAGAAAAAGTCTACCTGAAGCTGTGGGTCTACAGGTCTCCTCTGAGCTGCCTGTCTAGAACAGCCTGAAGTCTGACACGAGTTTTAAAGCATCTATGGAAACATCTCTGAGGCTGGCAGGCAGCATGACATAGTGAGTACTGCTGCTGAGCTCAGCTTCGGTACATGCTCCCAAAGTCATGTGACATATATGCTGAAGTGTTACCATGTAGTCTTCTTTGCTGGCGGAGTGATCCCTGCGTAGCCAGTTCATGGTGTCCTCCGCGTTCCACTTTACCACCTTCCTGCTCTCCGGACTCGCATTTCTACAAAAGGTCAAAGGGCGACATTAGTCACACCCACCCGCAGTGACCTCAGAAATTGTGAATCCTCAGCTGTGGCTCACCTGGTGTCTATCATCCTCTTGGCGGCTTCGGCGTACTTGAAGAGGAGCCTCCGAGCGTCATCCTTGTACTTGATGCGGGACAACCTGACAAACACAAACCGATATGCGATTAATACCACATCATTCAGGTGGACCCACTCTAGGCTGAACATCAGCTGAAAGGCAGTTATATCTATTAACGTTGGAGAGAGATGTCAGTACACAACTTTTGATTTCTGATAAGATACCAATATTGCTGCTTTGAGAATTGGCTGATACCAATATTGACCAAATATGAAAATAGCAGAAATCACACCAGCTTTTATTACTCATTTTATAATGTAGTATGTCAGAAAATGATTGATCACATAATATTACTCAAACAGGGAACAAAAGACAACAAAAGGCATGAAAAAACTGACTTATGTAAAATTAACTAGTGAGTTAAAGGAGGTTTTAACAGCAGCAGAGTGTTTATATGAGCATGAAAAGATCAGAGATTTTAGATTCTTGACAGAAAATAAAATCAAGACATTAGTTTTGGGCTAATATCGGACCAATTGCATCGAAACACCCCTAAAGTTAGATGCCTTTGAATCTTTTAACTAGAGCTGAAACAATTAAATTAATCTCATCTAATCGATTATTGAAATAATCGTCAACTAATTTAGTAATTGATTAATCCTTAACTGGAGTATAGACTCTAAAACATGCCTTAGCTGACAAAGCAACCCGTTTAGAGCAGTAATTATTCCAAGATTCTAAAAAATAAAACATTTTGCATTTAAGATAAAAAAACAATGTTTTCATCTTTTGATATAAGTTTATAATAAGTTTTAGTTTCGCTTGGCCTAATTTTGCAAAAAGTCTTCATTAAGGAACCTTTGGTTATTCGATTAATAGAAAAAATAATCAACGGATAAATCGATTTGCAAAATAACCGTAGTCGCAGCCCTACTTTCAAATAAACTTCAACGTCTATTAATTAAAAGTTGGCTTCTCATGAATACTGGAAAAAATCCCTCAGTACAATTTATGATGCAGCAATTTTTCTTCAAAGCAAATGTTTTGAAACTTTTTTTTTTATATACAAGGTAATTATAGGGTAGAACCGATAAGGATGAAGAAGACTCTTGCAGGTTCCAGCTGATAATTAAAAATGAAAACAAACTCAAAATGAAACAATCACTCAAACTGATATAATGGAAATTAATAGAGAAACTACTATGAAGGTCGATTGAATTAGAAAACACGTGGAGCAGTTTTTATATTCAATGTTTTTTTACAAAGACATTTTTTTAACCTTTTTTCTTATTGTTAAATTTTAATACCCTCTAATTTTTTTTTATTCTGTTAGTTTAAGTCTACTTATGGAATTCACTGCCTAATAGAAGTGTTTATATTGTGTAGAAACAATGACCCTATGGTTCAGTCTTATCATTTTATTGTAATAACCTGTCCTTTTATTGGTCTGTCAATTTGCTGATGATAATAATACATTTAACTTAGAGCTGAATAAGAAATGATTCGATAACAGATAAAATGGATTTACTGCATCACAAATGTATTGCCCTTTATAATTCTCTTTTTGATCATTTATAATAATATTTTCCTTAGTTATTAAGTCAGCAAACAGGAAAAGGTTGTTTATTTTTATTTTTTGCTTTGATCATTAGTCTTAGTCTGGCTTCAACATAACCTGCGGTCTAATCAGCCATATTACCCTCCAATAACTTTAGAACTAGACAGAAGAGGGCGTTTACTAGCTTCACATAAATATCTGACTAAGCGTGTAGATCAGGGGTGGGCAAACTTTTTGACTTGCGGGCCAGAATGGGTTCTAAAATTTGACAGAAGGGCCGGGCCAGGAGCATTTGGACAAGCAATGTCATTAATTAAACCTGGGGATTGAAATGTATAAAAAAACAGACAATTTTCATGACCATAAGGCGCACTGTACTAAAAGGCGCAGTCTCAGTTATGTGTCACATTTCTGTATTTAACACACACATAAGGCGCACCGGACTATAGGGTTTTCTTATATACAGGTACATATCCTCTACTACGTTTAAATACCTCTACTGCGTATTTAAAAATAGAGCGGGAGCAAAACTGAGTATGATTGTGCTTTATTCATTTGTTTATTACAAAGTATTAATCAAACCTACGTGCTGGCCTTGAGACAGACACATCGCAGATGACACAGAGCGCTGTGATCACTCCTAAATTAACTTAAAATCATGAAACCTGCCGACGGAATTTGTTCGCTTTTATTACCGGTATCCTGGTGCCTGCAGTTTAAATTATTTAGATGAAAAACACCTGCCAGCCACCGTGGTGAACCCGGAGGCTGCCCAGCCTAGAGGCTGCTGATGAAGGGATTCCTACTGTCGGTGTACCGCTGGTATGTGGGGGTCTGAGCGCCTCCAACAGACATAGTATAGGCATGATGATAATCTGGATGAACTGACTGCAATTATTAAGTTTTCAGGTGGACTTTCTCACTTAAAAAACATATTAAAACTATTTTATTCCCACTGATCATAGCAAATATAGCTGCAAGATTTAGATTATTTAGATGAAAAAAGACCCGGCCCAGAGGCCCCCTATGGAGGGGGAACAGATTATTTCAGGCAGCTGAAATATATGGTTCCCCCCCTTTAATTTTTGCAAATAAAGAGTAAATATGACCAAATCCACAGGATTTGTTCTCGGTGGTGAGAGGAATAAGCACGGTTAAAGACTTGCAGGTAAATTAATTTCTTCCCCTGTTATGGAGGGGGAATTCAGTAAGCTGAAACATCCATTATCTCCTCTCCTCCTCCCATATCTTTGGGAAATAAAGAGCAACTGTTTCCAATTTCTCTAAAATTGATATGTGTGATGTTGTATACTATAAATGTCCTTAATCCAGTAATCTGTCATATTTTACATTAGAAGGTGATTAACCAGAAATTCTTCTCTCATCTTCACAGGACGTCTTAATTTGTGTGCCCTGCTATCAGCCAGTTTCCATCCTCTTATATCAGCAATGAAAAATTTAAAATACACTACGTGTTGTTGTGTTCGGTGACTGACGTTTATTTCTGTCAGGCTGAAGGGACAAAAGTTGGAGAAATACCGATTCTCTTGGCGTTTAAAAAAACACAAAACAGCGTAAGAGGACCTCGTTGATGTATTTTTTTACAATTTCTTAAAAAGAGCAACCGATTAAAATGGATGTTACAAAGTTGAGATGATTATATGAGCTGTTTTTACCGAAAAATGATCAGGAGCGCCTTGAGAATGGTCAGATCCGCCTCTCTGGCTGCAATGCGCGCTCCCGACACAGGGGGAACAGATTTTCACGGGGAAACAGAATTTCGCACAAGACCTCTTCACACCGATGTCGAGCGGTTGAAGTTCCTTGTCAGACCTCCCGGGATAACGGCGAGCACAGCGTTCATTCAGTCACAGATTAACAGCGATGGTGATGCGTGGAAAAAACCACCTGGTCTCCACATACACCTGCCTCAGCCACGCTTTCATCATCTCCTCATCCATCCAGCCTTTTTCATTTGCCGTAATATCATGTGTCATCAGAGCGCTGTGTCTGTCTCGCTGTCAGCTCCCAGATCAGCTTCTCTGATTGGTTGATGCGGCGCTTCCAGCAGCAAAACTTCAATTTTTCCATCTCGAGCAGCAGCAGCGCGTTTCCGGCGCTTCAGATAAACGATCCCGACGCGCTGCGCCTGCTGCTCAAAACGCGCTGCGGGACCTTTTGCTGCGCCTATACGCGCGTCAACCATTGACTTTGCATGTAAACTCGCTGCTTCTGCTGCGAGTTTATATATTACTCCCATTTTTCCAGACCTTACATCTTCCATAATTATTATAGTTATTATAGTGAAGCTACAAGGAGGGCGATCCTGTTGCTCTACCTGCGCCAGATCCATAAGCAGAGTGACCAACCAAATGTTTTTGGTTTATATCAATTTTGACAAAAATTTGCACCTTTAAATAATTTTTGTCTTTATTTTTAAGAATCAATTATTTATTATATTTAGATATGATTTGTGAATAAAGGACCCTGTGGACCGGTGCCAGGAGAACCGCCTGCTTGACTCATCACTATTATCTGCAAGGTCCGCGTAGCAAAATGACATCATTCTGGGCTTTTATGCCCCTCAGCGCGGAGATTCTGTCCACACATCTCCTTCTGTCAGACTACTGTTCTCTCAGTGCACTAAGAAGCGTTTTCACAGATCCTTCCTCCTAGCAGCTGTTAAGCCTTTAGAACCATCACAGATCCCAACAAACTCAATTTTTTTCCCATCCCTGCTGTTATTGCAGTTTTCTCATGTCGTTTCTTGCTACATAAACATTTCAGATATTTCTTTAGTCATCCTACTCAAAGGTACATGGAAGCCACGTTTTTCCAAGCTGTTCTGCATCATTTCTTTGGTTGTAAACTCTCCACTTGATGCTGTGCTGAAAACACATAGATTTTTCTGATAGATATTCTGTTCTAAACTCAACCCTCAAGATGGATCAGTTTGGCACTCGATTAAATAAACACAGAACCTGGATCAGGATTCTATTTCCTCTAAGCAGACTTAGACAACTTTCATTGTCATTTTGTATACAAAGAGTGTATATAAAACGTCGTTTTGTACAGCTCTCATGACATTTTCATTTCTTTAAGCATTGACTGTGGCTTACCTGATGGGAATATCATTCATGACCTCCCGGAACATGGACGGAGAGACGACGGGCTCACATTCGCTCGGCAATAACGGATCATGACCTTTATCCATCACTTTCCTCTCCAACAGCCATCGGTTGAATGACTCCCGCGGTGGGTCGATGCCTTAATAGGACACACAAGACTGTAAGGGCATGTTTGGTTTTCCTCAGTGGGATGTTTTTTAAGAGAGTTCTCACCTTCTCTCTGGTGGCACAGCTCAGCATAGTGTTGCCTCAGCTTAGTGACCAGCTGCGCTCGCTGCAGCTCGATCTCGGGGTGCGGCGGCAGGTGATTGGCTGCTGAGCGCTCTCTGATCACAGCGTTGGTCTGAATATCCAGATCCCAGTAGACTCTGAAACAACCACATAAATCTCATCATTGGTTCTTTCTGCAGGGGAGTAAGGGGGAAGGTATTCAGCACTCACACAGCTGGTCGGTAAGGGGCGGGGGCCGGAGTGGGAGTTGTGGGAGTGGGGGCTGGAACCGGCTTCTCTTCAGGGGCGGAGCTCCAAGGTTTGACTCCAGGTGTGCTGGGAGAGATAGGTGTGGTTGGCTCCACCTGTAAACAGGACTGGACTCCATTACCCACCACCCCCTGTGCATCAGCATCACTGATCACATGACCAATCATGGCATCGGTGTCCAAATTCAGGGGCTGTATCCTTCAAAAAACCCGGCCTACTGAGAATGGGTCCTTCTGGAGCCGCGAAGACAGAAGGATGCAACTTGGTTGGGCTTTCTTTGATAAATATGACGTATGCATCAAAGGAAAAAAATGATTTTTTGTCCTTATTCCCTAATGACTCTTTATTTTAAAATAAACAATAATTTAGAAGAGGAGTGTTCATATTAATTATTAAGCGAACAAATGGACAAAAATCAAAACAGGACATTCATATATATATATATATATATATATATATATATATATATATATATATTAGTGCTGTCAAACTATACAAAACTTTAATCGCGATTAATCGCATAATATCAACAGTTAACTCAAGATTAATCGCAAATTAATTGCATATTTTATCTTTTTATTTTATTTGGGCATTTTAAAAAATGCAAATGTGCAATAATGTAAAAAAAACTTGCCTATACAATAAGTTTTTTTAATTATTATTTTTTTAAAGCACTTTTAAAAAACTAGAATAAAAATATCCTGGTTTAAATTCCGGCCAATATTTATTCAAAAATTGTAAAAAAAAAAAATTACAAAACTACAGAACAGTAAACAGTACTTCAAAGAACTCCATAAAATTCAGTTTTTTCTCAAACATAGGACAAAAATAAAGATGTACTGTTAAAATAAAGTGCACATTCCGTTATGAAATTCAGACTTAATTCAAATAAAATGAAGTTACTCACAAAATAATAAATAAATCAAACGGATTTACAGTAACTGGGCTTTGCAGTCATCTCAACAACATAACATTTTACATGTAGAACATTTTCAAAATGCTGTAATATTACTTTGGTCTGAACAGGAATTGCAGCAGCAGTGCATTCCACATGACTTAATTTATTTCTTTGTCTTGTTGGCACTAAGCCAGTGAGACGCTCGTTTCTTCTGGACAACATGGACAGACGACTTGGGTTTTGTCAAGAGAACCTTCTGGGATAACTTTAAAATGAAACTTATCATTCAGGATACCTTGTCTGCTGGCCATTTTTGCTCATTCAAAGCACGGGTCTGTTATGCTGCGGTCTCTCCCAAAACTTAGCGTTCCTGAAGCTACGGAACGAGCCGAGGGTAAAACAAACAGTACAGCGAGCGCTGCGGAAAAATAAAGAACAAAAGCGCACGGTACGTTTGTTTTGATGCGCGATTCACGTGCGTTAAAAAAAATGTCGGCGTTATAGTCTAAAGCAGTTAACGCGTTAATAACGCTTTAAAAACTGACAGCCCTAATATATATATATATATATAGTGTCTTGCTCTTGCAACCTTCTCAGAGCACAAGTGCACTGCTCTAACCCACTAGGCCAACACTCCCCCCCCCAAGTGGCATATTCCATTTGTCCATCCATCCATCTTCCTCCACTTATCCGGGGTCGGGTCGCGGGGGCAGCAGCTTAAGAAGGGAGACCCAGACTTCCCTCTCCCCAGCCACTTCTTCCAGCTCTTCGGGAGGAACCCCAAGGCGTTCCCAGGCCAGCCGAGAAACATAGTCTCTCCAGCGTGTCCTGGGTCTTCCCCGGGGCCTCCCCCCAGTGGGACGTGCCATCTTGGATTAGCTTCACTTCTTGAACACCTCACCAGAGAGGCGTCCAGGAGGCATCCTAAACAGATGCTCAAGCCACCTCAACTGGCTCCTCTCGACGTGGAGGAGCAGCGGCTCTACTCCGAGTCCCTCTCGGATGACCGAGCTTCTCACCCTATCTCTAAGGGAGAGCCCAGCCACCCTACGGAGGATTATATTCCATTTGTGTAGAAAGTATTTGGCAAGAACAACACAATGTATAATCTTAAAGTAAAATCTAATTCATAATTGAGGACAAATTAAGTACTTTTGTTTGGATCCTGAGAGCTGAGACAACTTTTGTTTTTGTTGATTTAATCCTAGAGAAACTTCAGCAGTTGCTAAAGATGAGCAAGTTATTCATCTCCTAATATACTCTGCATTAAGATGAAATCCTTAAATAAGGCTATTTTTCAAAGCTTATCTTTAATTACTGCTTTTTCTGCTCCCTTGCTTAGAAGAAGTCAAAGTCTGTAACTGAGCTCCCATTCCCCCTACATAAGCAGATGATGTGATTTCATTAATGTCCGACTGATGATAAGACGATTATTAGTTTGCATTTATCTGTACAGTTTTATAATTTAAATATTTGTAAAAGCCCAAAACTTTTTTATCATTATTCCTTCCTCACCATCTTGTTGAGTTAATTACAAAGGCTGTCAACGGCTGAGTCAAAGAAAATACAGTAAAGCTACGTTCACATCGCACATGATTCCAGCAGCAGAAGCAGCTGTTTTAAATGTAAAGTCAGCGGTTTGTGCGCATCAAGGTCCCACAGCACCTCCCGAGTAGCAGGTGCAGCACATCTTGACCCACCTGAAGCAGGGCCTCATGAGCTTTTAAGGCGTGTGAAGTGCTTCACAAGCAGACAGAGCACTGCTGAAGCAGGTCGCTATGATCACTCCTCTGAAACTAGTTATTAATGCCTCAATTAACTTAAAATGTGGAAAACCTGCCAGCAAAACATGTTTGCTTTTATTATTGCGATGCGTGCAGTTTGTATTACGTACAAGAAAAACGCTAACATCTACTTCCAGTCGCCATGAAAAGTAGGGGACAAACCTCCAAGAACCCGGCCTGAGGCAGCTGCTGCTGGAGATTAGCAGTGACAGCGCCCTGTCGGTATGTTGGGGGTCTGTGCAGCTCCAACAGGGAAATAATATTTTAAAGCAGAATCATAGTATTGATGAACTGACTGCACAAACAATGTTTTGAGTGGTGTTGCACCAATACCGATACCAGTATCGGACGGGGCCCCAATACTGCCCTAAAATGGTGGCATCGGTATCGGCAAGTACCAACAAATAGAGCACCGATACCACTTGGAGAGCCATAAGTTTATTCAACTATTGTCACCCATTCCAGGTAGGCAATAAAAAGTTCTACTGGACTCACTTTGTATTAGATTTTTTCCTGCTTCACAAAGGTAGGCAGCAGCTTGACAAAGCCATGATGGCAATTATTTTACATTATTATGGTATCGGCCGATACTGCACAGCCAGGTATCGGGTATCAGCATCGGCACAACACTAGTTTTGAGGTGGACTTTTTCCACTTAAAAACATATCAAAATTACCTTTTACCCACTGATAACAGGAAATACAGCAAAGCTGCTCACAAAATCTACTGGACGCGCTTCAGGAGCAACAAAGATGTTCTTGAGGCGCATTTGAACTTAATGTGGAGAAGCATTAAAAAAAGGCAGCAGGCGCTTTTTCGCTACTCAAATCACGTCTGGTGGGAACGTAGCATTAAAAGAAAAATGGACCCAATGAGGGCCTGATTAACATTTGTTCAGTTTTGTTTGAGTTGGTCTTAATTTTAAGAGCAGCAACCTTAATACATTTTTTAAAAACAATCGTCAGCATTGAGTAAAAACTGTAATAACACAGTACAACAGCAGTGGTTTCAAATTTATGATCACATTTTTAACAACTGCCATCTGCCATTGCTTCAACCAGCACCCCGGACCAAAGAAAATAGTTGGGCATGAAGGACACAGAGAAATCCTCCTTCTGCTCAAAGAAAAGAAGGCATTTGTCTGCGGCTTTAGAAACAGTCGTGTATCGGGACCGTCTTCATCGGCGTGCTGACATGGAATTGTCCAACAGATTTAAAAAGACCTTTGAAGGATGTTGCCCCTGAATTCAGCTTAAATACCTTGGCTCGTTTTGCACTGTTTAGCCCCGCCCCCTGCTCCTCAGAGCTCCTCCTCTTCCTCTGGCCGTTTCCAAGGTTACCATCCCCGGCTTCTGCGGGAGCAGCGTTTAGACCCAGTGGGTCGGACTACGAACAGATAGAGGAGTATATCAGTTCCTGCTGCTGATTGGTTTATAGATTGGGTGATTGATAGGTGAGGTAAGCAGCACTCACGATGACATCATGTTGACCCAGCACAGGCACCTCCCACAGGCTCTGATTGGTAAATCTGTTAAAGTAGTACGGTCGGTTCTCCCTTTTTGACCAACATTTGGACCAGCCGGCCTGGACCAACTCATCTGTTAGGATTCAGGGGAGAGATGTGGAAGGTAGGGAGACACAAAGACATGTGGGCAAGTCAGAAGACGACAACTGAGAGAGAGAGGCAAGTGTGAAAAAGACACAGGTAAAGAGAGAAGACAGCTGCATCTACCTGGAAGTTCAGGTGATTTGGATGTGGTGGACGGAGAAAGAGGCGGTCCATGAGAGGAGGCAGAGGCAGAAGGGGACACCATGGTGGCTGCCTCTCCCTTCACAGATCCCTGGCTGTTACTGGACATTTTAGCTGCTCATCACAGTCGGACCTGACAAAAGGAAACAGGGATTCAGAACACAACAAAAGAAAACGGTGAGCTTCTCTTCCAGGTCAAATACTCAACTAAAACAAAAAAAAGAAACTGGTTTCAGCGATTTAATTTAAGCAGAAATTAGCAAGATAAACTAGGGAGGAGAAAATCCCACTGTGTCTCTAAAAGAAAATGCCTACTTATGAAGTATTGCAAACTAAATCTTTTATCTGCGCCAAAAATCTGAAATTGGCATGCAGCATAAAAAACAGTTTTATAAAACCATCTGCACACAAAACCAAGCAATTTCCAAATGTATTGTTTACATCTACAAGGAATTTGATTCGGTAATGAGTTGCTACGTACAGAAAAGCAAACAGAAATACATGATTCAGAAACCAACAAATGTAAGTTGTGCAGTAAAAGCACCACAGCAGCAAATTAATAGTGGCTAAACTTAGATTATAAAGTATGCATATACACATGTGCTGACACTTTCCTGCAGGCTGCGGGAAAGAGGAGCTGGGCCTTGTTAAGGAGGCCAACAGTAGATGGGAATTAGCTGTTTTTGTGGAAAGCAGTATTGGTTGTGATGGGGACAGAGAGGAGAAACAGTTTGTGTCCAGGGTGGGAGGGAGGTGTGAGCTGCTATACATCTATAGAGCAACAGATCAGATCTCTAACTCAGAGTCTGAGTCCTAGGATCCTCTTTGCGTTCAGCTTTCCACATGTACACATTTAACTGTGCGTGTTCCATGTGAAGCATTTAAACATATCAAATACATGTAGGGCTGAAACTATTGATCAAAACCAGTCATGATTGATCATTTATTGAAATAATCATCAACTAATTCAGTTATTAATAATTTACTGGAGTGTACAGACTCTAGCAACCCATTGACAGTACTAATTATGCCAAAACTGTAAAGCATATTTGCACACACACCGATTGAGAGGTGGTAATAATTGGCAATTAGCAAGACACACCAAATAAAGGAGTGGTTCTACAGGTGGGGACCACAGACCACTTCTCAGCATCTATGCTTTCTAGCTGATGTTTTGGTCACTTTTGAAGGTTGGTGGTGCTTTCACACTCGTCGGAGCATGTGATGGACTCCAAAACCCACATAAGTGCTCAAGAAGTGCAGCTAATCCAAGATGGCACATCAAGTAAATAAACTTTAATTAATTACTATCAGAACTCCTAAAGAGGTAGCTTTAGCTTCATCTCATTCGCAATCTGTATAAAATATATTAAAGGGGCCTTTTCACATCCGATTTAGCAATAATAGCGGGTGATCACTAAACAAAATAATTGATTGCAGCCCTACTGCAATCTCCCCATCAGTGTCTACAGTTTTCCCTGCCTCCATAACATGTGCTGTTATACGAATAGGTAAGAGTTAAGGACCTCATATTTTTTTATTTTTACGTTCTAAATCAAACGCATGATGTTTAAAGGCTGAACAGCATCTTCTGGGTTAAAGTCAGCTGAGTGAATGACTAATTATAAACTATTCTTACACCATTGAAATTAAACTTTATTGAATATATTATATAAATACAACAATCCCTCCTTTGTTTCCATGATGAACTCTGGTTAGTAAACTTCATCTCATACACGCAAAATATTTTTGCTCCAAGCAACACGACCCAAGAACCTGATTGCCTCTACACTTTTTTGTAGAGTTTATAAAAAATAAATTAATAAACCCATCATGTGAAAGTAAGAAACATTTGAAATAGGGATGTTCCGGTGCAGAGGTCATGGATTAGCGAACCGCAGTCCCGACCCGGACCCACCTGCTGGCTGATCCGGGCCCAACCTGATTTAAAACATTTATAAATCAATGCATGTTGTCTAATTTCACTTGCGCTGCTTCTCCTGTTAATATGGTAAAGCCCTCCGGAGCTTCTGGAACCAGGCTACACCTGATACAAACTAGAAAAAGCTGTTTCGGAGAAACAGCAAGTGGGAATGCTTTTGGTGAATGAAACAAGCTGAAATGACCTGAAGAACATATGAAATGTGATAGAAAGTCATCAGAAACTTAAAACAGCAGAAAACAATAGAATCATCTGAAGATTTTGTAGGGTAGAATCATTTGGCAGTAAAATAGCAGTAAAATGGCAGAAACAAACTCATCTTAAAAGCTGCACAGCCAAACCATACGTGATATAAAAAATTTCTTGAATGTGTCTACTAGAAGGGTCTTAATATAATGTCTCCCAAGTTTCTAGAAAAATGTCTAAAGAAATTTTGAAGGGGGCCACCTACTGCCTAGAAACATGTCAGGCGTGTTATGAATTAGCAGTAAACAGAAAAGCTTAATTCCTGTCCAGAAAGAGAGCAGAATGAAGCCAAAGTTCTCAGCATAGGCTGAAAAGTATTAAATTAGCTGAATCAGAACAGAATTTACAAAGAAAAATTTGAATCTTATCTGGTTGAAGAAAATATGAGTAGCTCAAGGAAGGGAAGTAAAATGTTGAGGAAGATGGTCTTGAATAAGTATCAAAATTTTGAAATTGAGGAAATGTCAAGACTTGGCAAAACAATTTGGAATGATTTAAAATGTGTTGGTTGATCAGCAAAAAGAAAACAGTGTCATCCTTAGAGGATAGAAAATCTACAAACCTATGTGCAAGACTGACCATGAGAAGCAGAGCTAGGACAGAGAGAGAAGCTTATAGAAAGAGAGCTAATACCACTTAAGGAGCTGAATTTATCAAAAAATCTAACCTGCATGTTACGAGCCGCTGTGTTGATGAAAGCACTGTTGGCAGGCTTAGGCTGCATGTTACGAGGTTAGCAGATGCTTTATTACAGTGTAAATCTTAGAACCTGATTACGAAATATGCACTGAGGTGTGTGGTCAACAGGCCTTGATAGTGTAATTTGAAGAAATTGGTTGAGTTTGGGTCATAGCTACGAGCCATAAGGCACAATGAATGAGTATGTGATATAGAATCCATTTCTAAATATGAAATCACTGGTTTTCTATGTTATTGGGTGAATAGATGCTGTATTAGAGTGTAAATCAGAGACCTTTATTGTGAAATTCGCTCCGGGGTATGTTTTGAAAAGGTCCCTAGAGTCTAGTAGAAACCAGCTGGTGGAGTTTGGGTCACAATGCTGAGCCATTTGCATCAATTAATACATCAGTATAATATAGAGGCTTTTATTTTGTAGAGTCCCTGGAGTCTTATTTTGAAAGTTCAGCAGGGTTGTGTGTTAAGCAGGGGTTCAGATCCAGCAATGATACTTCATGAATGTCCTATACTTGAATTGCTCTTTTTACCTGTTTTTAGTTCAATAGATGAAGTGGCAATGGGAGGCTTTTATTTTGAAATTTGACATTAGGTGCATTTTGAAAAGCCCCGTGGAGTCTAATTTTTGGTTTGGTTGAGTTAAGGCCGCGGTTCTCAAAGTGTGTGGCGCGACCCACTGGTGGGGAATTGAGACGTGACAGGTGGGGCGCGCCAAGTTCCGGTGTGTGTGTGTGTGTGTGTGAGACTATAAATATAGAATGTGTGAGAGCAAACTGTCCTTAAAGCTGTATGTTGCCGCTTTTTAGACCAATCAAACCCACAAAGTAATCATTAGTAGCCTACATGCAGTCTAATTAAAAGAACATTAGATATGAGAAAAATTTCACCTGGAACTGAAGTGCCAAAATAATGATTGACGTGACGTCGGCATATTATTTGTAACGGAATAAACTTTCGCGCCCCAGTGTTGCCAACTCAGCGACTTTGTCGCTATATTTTAGACCCCTCCAGCGACTCTTTTTAAAAAAGGGACTAGCGACAAATTAGCGACTTTTGGAGACTCTTACGTGAAAGCACGTATCGTTCCTTTTCTTGTCCTCCAGCGGCAGGTGCTGCCGTGGGGCGCCTCCGTCCCAACCCCGTTCTCCCCCGCTATCGCAGAAGTCCCTCTCAGTGCTGCAGAGACACAGCATGTTTACCCTCAGCGTCCAGACTGCAAATAAAGCGCACATGCGCCGGGATTGACGGCGCAGGTTGATCATAAATAACTGAATTTGAAATATTTTATCTTAAATAAATAGGACCAGTTTATTGAAATTACGTCTGACTCCACCCTGAGGCTCAGGTTTAATGCTCAGACTAATAGTGAATTCTGGTTTGGAGTGGAGAGGGAGTATCCACTCATCGGGCAGAGAGCTGTGTGCATTCTTCTTCCCTTTGCCACATCATATCTCTGTGAGATGGGCTTTTCAACTGTTGCTTCACTGAAAACAAAATACAGATCTCAGCTGAACATTGAGCATGACTTGAGAGTGGCAGTATCAAGCCTGCAACCCCGTTTTGAGAAACTGTGCAATGCAAAACAGGCTCATTGCAGCCACTAATGCAGGGATAAATAGAGCTGTATTGCCAGATGGATTTCACTTCTTTTCTTTTATTAACAGATTGCAGAGTGGCACTTTAATTTTTTCTATCTTTGAGCTTGATACAAATTTTGACACAGCTGCATTTTTATTTTCTTTATTTTTGAGCTTGCTGTTATTTGATGTAGATAGTTTGTATTTAGATACTACTTGTTACTTCAATAAAATTGGAAAATTTTAAGATTGTTGCATATTTCATTAGCATTGTGTTGGGGCGATGGGGACAGGCGGGGCTTGAAAATTCCCCCTTGTCCAAAGTGGGGAATGACAGAAAAAGTTTGAGAACCACTGAGTTAAGGTGATAATGTTGAGACATATGCTGCCAAAAAAATAAGAGTATAATAAAGAGGCTTTTATTTTGTAGGGTCCCGGGAGTCTTATTTTGAAAGTCTAGCAGGGTTGTGTGTTGAGAAAAGGGTCAGACCCAGCAGTGATACTTGACTTTCCAATCATTAAATCACTCTTTTCCCCTGTGATCAGGGCAGTAGATGGATTGGCAATGGGAGGCTTTTATTTTGAAATTTGCTGTGGGGTGTGTTTTGAAAACCCTCCTAGAGTCTCATTTTTAAAAAAGTGGTTGCGTTTGGGTCATAATGTTTAGCCATATGCTGGGGAAAAAAATATGAGTTTAATGTAGGGGCTTTTATTTTGAAGGGTCCCCGGTGTCTTATTTTGAAAGTCTATCAGGGTTGCGTGTGAAGGGAAGGGTCATGGCCGGTAGTCATATTGTATCCATTTCCAAATGTTAAATCAGTGTTGTCTCCCTCCATTAGATTAAAATGTGCTGTTTAAAGTGGAAGAGGTAAAATCCCTTTGAAGCTTGGTTACCTTGAAAACGCTTAACGAGCCTGTCAGTGACAGAGAGAAACGCGCTTCACTTTCGTTCCTTTCCTCTCAGGCTTTTTTGAATGGGAATATCAGCTCCGAACAAACGAGTGCTGAAGACAAACCGTAAATGGTATCTAGAAAATTCTTTCAGTCTAAGTGACAGCTATCCTTTGTCTACGACTGGGGTAATTTTCATGGCTGTAGCTCTTTCACAGCCTTAATGGGAAGGAGAAATATAAAGGTTTGTAAATCCTGCTGGTCTCATTAAATAACATGCAGCTCAATGGTAGAGCAGAACTCTCAAAAGAAAAACTTCCCCTGCGAACAAACCAGCGGTGAGCAAAAACCATAAAAGGTATTCAAAAAATTCTTTCACCATTGGCGTCAGCCATCCTTCGGCTTCGACTGTGCCAACTTTCATGTTTCTACTAAAAACTATTTGGCCACGGTGACGATGTAAAAATGTGCATTTTCTGAGTTTGAGGATTTTTCTCAGAATCAACGTTTTCCTATAAACAAACAAGTTAGCTAAACAGCTAAACCATAAATGATATTGAAGAAATTCCTTCAATGTGAGTGCTAGAAGGTTCTGAAGATGTTCTATACCAAGTTTCATGTTAGTACATCAAATAGTTAAGAAATGGGAGCAATACCAAAATATGTATCGTTTTGGATTTTGTCTGTGATCTTTGGAAAGTCTCTCATTGGATTTCTATTGGGGAAGTGTGGACTTCTTCGTGGTTTGGGCCAAACTGTCGGAAAACTGTAAATGCCACACAAATGAGGGTTACATTTCCTGAATCCTGACAAAAATCCCTACATTTTGATGTATAATTTATTTCAATTGAGTGAAAAATGAGGGAGTGAGAAGAATTTGTTCGGAAAAACCAGAACAGCTCAAAAGCTAGAGCACGCACTCTAGCAGTTGAAGAATTCCGTCCATAGACTTCCATTATAAATCTTAAAATCTTAAAATTTTCTTTTAAAGTTTGAAGCTTCACTGAAGCAAAACTGTATAAGTTAGCAAAAAGCTGAGTTAAACAGTAATAGCAGAGATATACGGAAATATTTTAAAAGTTGTATGGTGTTTCTAGCTGAAAGTATGCTGAAGTAGTTAAAGGTCGAAGATGATAAAGTTTTAGCTGAATTTTGCTGAAATCTAAGAATTCTACATGCATTTCAATGGGACAAAAAAAAAACGCAGAAAAAGCAGAATGTCGCGAAAACTACAAAAAATATCTTTACCAAAAGACATAGCACAATTCTCCTAAACAAGCTGAACGTTTTGATACCAAAATTGTTGAAATCGGTTGAAAACTGCGGGACTAGAGTCAGAAAAATTTAAAGTGAACAACATTCCCACTTGATTAGCCAATGGACTTTGTCAGTCTGGGTCGCTGCTTTATTGCATCCATGTATAGTGTTTCCTTTATTTTCTACTCTTATTTAAAGTATTGCCTGCTTCAAAAAGAAATTGCAATTTTTTATTTATTTATTTATTTTTACCAATTTATTACCTAAAAAAACACAAAATAGGTCTACATTACTACTCTAGGTGTTTTATTTTTATTTTAGGTGTCTCGGCCTGTGAAGTTTGCAACCTTAGATGCAGCTCTGCTTCCACAGATAATTTTAAAACCATAGGGTTACTGCCTCATGCTGAAGATAATTAACTTTACTCAGTAATTAAAAAGACTTGGATATGATACCATAGACAGGAGGATTTGTGGAACTTGACCGTACCCAAACCTGCTCTTCCTGTTATAAAGGCCCCTGGTATAGCTAGCAGTGTTTTTGATCCAGTTATACAGGATCAAATCATCCACAGATCAGCAGATAGTCTGGAGTTCAGTGCCTTGCTCAAGGACACTAAGCGAGAATATGAATGGATATCTAGGGAGGGTTACATTTTCCTATTGCCATAAAATGCTCTCTTCATTGACCTGCGGTCTTTCTGTAATCAGGGAAGATGACGGTGTCGATCAACGTAGAGGTAAAATGACAGGTGTTTTATCTGTTTAAATCGATCCGCACCACCTGTGCCCGGTGTGCCGCAATCACTGATTTATTATACCTAAAATGAAACTGAAAGGAAGAAACGTCCCTGTGATGTGACAGCGCTCCGACAAACAGTTGATTGGATTTGATCAATAAGCTGCTGCTGCTTAATTCTGTTTAAGGCTTTTCGGTTGTTTTTCTTCTCAGTCGCAGGAACGAGCGCCACAGTTATGCGCATGCGCGCAGCGAGCCTGAGCAAACAGGGAGGAGGGGGAGGAGGACAACAAAAGGCTGCGGCTGCTGCTCAAAGCCCGCGCTCCGCTGTCGGAGACCGTGCGGTCGCTACGACTCCACGGAGCAGACAAGCCGACCGAAAGTGTGCTAAATCCCCATGGACTCGGCGGTCTGACCTGATAGCTGTTCTGACAGAGGCTGATAGAATGTTTTATTCGAACTCAGCTAAGACGTATTGCTGCTGTTAAAATTCAGCTCCTCTCAAAGATGGCGGACACGCCCCTGCCACCGCTCTGTGCGCCTTCACCAACATTTCTGCTCAGGAATCTCGACACTTTGGCTTCGCGGTCCCAGAACCTACTCCATCCGCAGCATGAAACCTTCAGCCGAGTGTCGGTGTATTCGGAGGAGCCATACGGACTCTTTTGCTCTTACCTTCCGCGGTCAAATAGCAGATAGTCGGAGCTTCTCCGCGCTGCTTTCCAGTCGTCCGCTCCGCTCCCTCCCCGCCTGCTCAGACATCTTTACAGGGACTCGGGCACAGCCACTGCGCAGGCGCGGCGACTGACCCACTTCCGGTGCCAACGTGTCTGCTTTCCGGGGCCATATTGAGGAGGTCAAAATGTTTAGACTGCAGCGAATTCTACTTCAAAATTGAGCTAATCTTGATAATGATTATTAATGGATAATTTGTTGAAAAACCATCACAGATCATTTAAAAATCAGTCTGTTCCTTATTATCTGTATATTACATCTTATACAATATATGCAAATGTATAAATATGTTTAAATATACAGTGATTCACTTATTAAATGATAAATTATAAATACTTAATTAGGCAGACTATAAGAAAAAAGTTATGCCTATCTGAATCTTCTATATAAAAAAAGAGGACTTCCTTAACTGCAGAGCATTAACCTGTCAGTCCTGTTTTTGAATCGTGTTCTGTTTCATTCATTATTTTTTCTACTGGTAGAACTACTTTTTGTCCTTTACACGAACTAGAAAGGGATTAAAAAACCAAGAATAATGTGGTCTAGATTTGGTTCACATAGTGACAAGTAATTGGACAAAGATAAAGGGAGGTGGGCCTTTCAGAAGAGCCACTGGGGGACATTAGTGTTGGTAGAAAGCATGAGCAGCACAGGCTGAAGTTTTGTAGTTTTAAAGCATCATGTATAAAGTAGTGGACATTCTGAAACTTGCACATGAAAAAATAAAAATCAGATGTATAAAACCATGTAAACGTGTCACTTCATAGTTTCCTTCATTCTTCTAAATTTGCATGGAATCAAGCCAATTGCACACGTATTCTTGCCTGCCTGGTCCCTGCCTCTAAGTGAATATGCAAATCAGTAATAAACAGCCAGAAGGCAACAAGCACATGTTCAAATAACCATAGCAACAGTGCTGCCCTTCAGTCACTCTGAAACTTTGTCAACACACCTCACTGATACGTTACAGCCAACCAACAACCTCTTAAGAGACACCAGCGACTCAAACTTGCAGAAAATGGATAAAATGTTTGCTGGTACCTTTAAAGGAATAGTACACCCAAAACATGATTAGCCTTCATTTTCTACTCACCCCCATGCTGAACAACACTCTGGAGTACTTTTTTGATATCTCAAATGCATCTGGAGATCTGGGAGGCTTCTTGCTGTCTGCTGACATTCAAATAATGGAGGTCTATGGCGCCCGAGACAGAAAGGTCCACAAAAGTCCACAAAAACGTGTCAATATTCCTCCATACTGCTCGTCCAATGTAATCCAAGTGTCCTGAGTGGGTAGCATCCAGAATTTACTCGAAACGAAGTCATTTAGAACGTTTTAGAGCATAAACAGTAGTGTATAGGATTTCCTAATAGCGCCCCCATGCGCGCTCACGATTCTACGGAAGCCGGCAGACCAAACCGGAAGAGAGTGCGCATTCAGCGTCTGCTCTGCCGATAATGCAAGCGTAGAAGAAGAAATGTGCTGTTTACCTGTGCAAAGAAAGAAACAACGAAAGAAAAATGTCTGAGGACTTCAGTGTTGAGGAAGAGCATGAGTTCTTTGCCAAGCTGAATGCGCTGGTTTGGTCTGCCGGCTTCCGTAGAATCGTGAGCGCGCATGGGGGCGCTATTAGGAAATCCTATACACTACTGTTTAGGCTCTAAAACGTTCTAAATGACTTCGTTTCGAGTAAATTATGGACGCTACCCACTCAGGACACTTGGATTACATTGGACGAGCAGTATGGAGGAATATTGACACGTTTTTATGGACTTTTATGGACCTTTCTGTCTCGGGCGCCATAGACCTCCATTATTTGAATGTCAGCAGACAGCAAGAAGCCTCCCAGATCTCCAGATGCATTTGAGATATCAAAAAAGTACTCCAGAGTGTTGTTCAGCATGGGGGTGAGTAGAAAATGAAGGCTAATCATGTTTTGGGTGTACTATTCCTTTAAGCTCCACATTGTCTGAGTCGGTTCCAAATGGTGCTGCAATGAGCTTAATAGCTTAATGCTGATCTCTGTAATCATTTGTATATGCTTCCCATGTTTCTACTGGGAAGATTGTCACTACAACAAAAAAATCAATGTAAAAAATTATTCAGGAATCACAAAATAACAGTAAAAAGCCACAAAAAAAAAAGGCAGCCATTTGTCACAAGTGGGTTGGTGGGAGTGTGGATTATACTCAGAACCTCTGGAACCCAAGCGCAATGCCCTAACCACTAGGCCATCATGGCCTAGAATAAAAAAAACAAAAAAAACACGGTCATATGTGGACACACTGTATATATCGCATGCTCCTTCTTCCTATCTTTTAACTATTTGAGCTGATGCATCGCATACATTTCTCCACTGTGAGATCAATAAAAATCAATCAATAATTATATTAACTATAAGCTTATAAAACCATTGGTTGAACCAAGCCAAAGTTCCCTGGTTCAGTTAAGTAAGCAGACACGTTTTTGCATATTAAACATGGTGGACAGCTTTGACAGATCTGGCATTTCCCGATGGCCTCTTAAAGCAATGTTGATTGCAGTCACAGCTCTGCTCACTTAATTACAATTTGATGTATATCCATTTAAGCACATTTATTTGTTTATCTGAGCAACACACGACTTACTCTGAGTAGTACCATATGACAAGCATGTTGACGGTTCACATTGACTGTTAAATACCCAACATTTCAATAACTTCCTTCTAAAAAGTTCTCTGGCTGGATGGTACAGTTGTTGGCAGGAAGGATACATGGTTCTTTCAGGGCTCTTCTGTGATGCTCATCAATTTATATCAGCTAAGGAGCAATGCCTCATCTTGTACCAGCAGGTCAGTAACATCTCTGAACAAACTCCCTCTGTATTCTTTCATAAAGGAAATGTCATCCAGCAAAGCCAAGGCTTCCACCTTTCCAAAATTACACTCCACTCTACCTCTTCTTTTTTTATAGATGTGTGATCGTCTACACTTTGTTCATCTTATCAATCACCCTACCTGACTAGTGTGCAATTAATTTGCTGATGTACCACAGTTTCTTGTTCAGTTATACTGAAAGTGCCCCTTTGAGATCATCCATGGATTTTTAGCTCCTCAGCACACAGACCACCATGTGTTTACAGACCAAACCAAAGGAATATTTACAGTTTACATCAAACTGAGGTTCTTTCCATCATCTTTGAGGTGTTACAGTGTTTTAGCGGGCTAAATATAGTTCTTTTATCGTTCAGATTTAAAACATAAAAGCTAAAACTCATAAAAAACATAAGGCTTGTTGTTCCTGTGGTTTAAATAGAACTGAATTAAATAATTTTTCAGAGTTTTTTAGCTTTAGTTTTGGTGTTTTGTAGTTTTTAATTGTCGACTAAAATAAAAGTTCCCAAGGAACGCTGCAAAACTTGTACACTTTGTACAAGCTGAGTTGTGTGTAAAACATTTGGCCGCTCTAAGGCTCTGCCTGGATCCTTGTTTAACCTGTTTACCTACAAGTAAAGTAGTTAAACTAATTTACTGCTCTTTTTTTTATGAAAGAACAGCTAGAATATTGAGATATGTTAAATATTTTTGTGCCTCATGTCAGAAACTGAAACTTCTGATCATATAGAATTATTACACATAGATATTTAGCGCCTTTTTAAAAATTTAATCTAAAATTATTTTATCGATCCCAAAAGTAAATTAAATGTGGTAAATTATGAGGGTCTTCCTCAAAATGTCTTAGATTTTTTTTGTAGTATTTTTTATGGCTTACATTTACAAAATAAAAACCTAAAATTTAGCATCTCATAAATAAGAATTTTACAATAGAAAAATACAAAAAAGAATTTTAAAAAGAAATGGCAGACGCCCAATAAATATTTTTTTTCATCTATCAATACTTAATACTTGGTCTGGGTTCCTTTTGCCCTAATTACTATATATGGTGACATGATTGAGCTGTGCTTCTGTTTATAAAGTATTGTGTATAGGGACCATACTAAAAGTTTACCTACACCCAAAAGCTGAAAATGGCATATGCAAAAAATTATAGGGGCAAAAAGTGTCCTAATTATTCTTTTGGCTACATTAGCTTATCAGATTCAAATGTTTCCTAATTTCTATGCATATGTGGTTTATCTCTGATCTTTAATTAAAAAAAAATTGCAGCATAAAGCTGTGTCCATTTCTTGGCCCATCTTAAATATATTTTTTGATATGTATGAATATATTTTAAATCTTATTAATTTGTCCAGATTTAATTGTAATTCTTTAGAACTGTGCACCAAGTTACCCTTACCTTTTTTTCTATGTTGGAGTTGTACAAACCAACCTTCTTTTGTGTAACACCTGTGACAAATATGGAAATAAGCGTGGATCTGGCAGGTCAAGTTGTCCAAAACTGAAGCCTGTTCAGCACATAATCCTAGAGCCAGATAGGTCCGCAAACCTAACTAGAACAAAAACATCAGCTTATGAAACTGCAGCTTCATGTGTTATGAATGTTTAAAAACCTACATAGAGTGCCATAAATTAACATATTTCATGCTCAATTGCAGACATAATTCAATTTGATTCAGTTTATTTCTATAGCGCCAATTCACAACACATGTCATCTCAACGCACTTTACAGTTCACCAGATCACCCAGTCAAATTGATTCAAAGTTTTTAATGTAAGGAAAACCAGTTGATTGCATCGACTCATTGTCTTAAATGCAATCCCTCACACTAAGCATGCTTGTATCGACAGTGGAGAGAAAAAACAGGAAGAAACCTCCAGCAGAACCAGGCTCAGTGTGAGCGGCCATCTGCCGAGGCCGACTGGGGTTCAAGGAGACAGAAGCAGAGATACAAAAGGCAAGTGTAAGAGGCGGCCCCGTCCAGGAAACACACAGCCAGGCAGACGAGCTGAGCCAGCTCCCATGTTATAGGATGAAGAGAGAACATCCAGCCAGTCACAGTCAGAGAAACAGGACTACACTGGAAAAACAGGCCGATTTCCAACATCTATAAACAAAGGTGTTGATGGCAGCAGCACAGCCGATATTTAACAGTTATATTCTTCTTTACTAAATACAAACACAATGCTGATCCAAACAAATGAAAAACTTCTTCCCTGGCCTTGAATGCAGACTCCTGTGTGTGATTGTGGTGCAACCCTTGGAGCTTCTGTATATTTCTAATATACAGAATAAAAAAACAGGATGTTATATTGAAATTTACATGATTATCTCTGTCCAAGTTTTTCTTTTACTCTTTCCACTTATGCAGACATGACTTAGCGTGTTTTTCTCTAGTAAAGAAAGAGCCAGTAATCGGGAGGCGCCATCTAGTGGCCAAATGTGTTACTACAATCATTACACTGACGCAGAGACAGTTTTAGGTGATTTAATATGGCGTGAATGTTGCTCCTTTATAATTGAAAGCGAAAAGCATATCATTTAAATAGAAATTTAGAAAAAAATTCTGCAATCCAGAAAGGAAACATTGAAAACTTCTTAACCACCCCAAAAAATGTTTAAGGGTAAATTTGCTGTTTTCTTATATGTCATTTTTCCAAATATTTTCTGATAATTCAAATATTCTAACACATTTTTTTTTTGCAGATTTTACTTTTTTATCTTATATTTTTATTATTTTTTTCCAGATTGTGTTTTATGAATTGCATTCTTTTCAAATTGTCTTTAACAGATCATGTTCTCTTTACTTCAAGGCCAACAGAAATGCTCACATTTTACCATTAAAACTTTTCTGGATAATAATGCAGTACAATGAAAATCATTGGTCCTCAATCCAGAGGAAAGGCTGCCTCCAGAAGTAGAGAATAGGATATTTAAAACACAATTTGAAAAGAATACAGTTTGTTACGGAAGAGGATTAGCGCCACTGGAAAAAAAAAAAAAAAGTTAACTGATTTTTAAATTCTATTTCAGTTTAACATGGGAAAAAAGTCAGATTTCTGACTTTAATGTCAGAATTCTCACTGAATTCTGACAACAAAAAAGTCAGAATTCTGAGAAAAAAGTCAGAATTCTGAAATAAAATAAAAAAATCAGTTAACTTTTTTTTTTTTTTCAGTGGCCCTAATCCTCTTCCATAGTTTGTAGAACTCAATCTGAAATAGTGAACTTTGAAAAACTATTTAAAAAATGAAGGAAAAAAAGGATGAGAAAATAAAATAAAAACTTCAAATAAATTTTGAAGAAGTATTGCTATTTCTGAAAAAAAAAAAAAAAAAAAGAATTAATTTAATAGCCAATCTAAGGGAGGGGCTGGCCATATATGTGGCCCATACCTACAGTATGCCGTGGCCCAATCCCACAGTAGGGAGTCTTATTCAATTCAATTCAATTTATTTATATAGCTCCAACTCACAAAACATGTCATCTCATGGCACTTTGCATAGACAATTCAACCAGATCATACAGTCAAACTGATTCAAATTTTTCTATCTAAGGAAAACCGGCAGATCGTATTGTTAGCTTATAAGCCAATGATCGTTATGGTCCATCTATTTAGTCGTTAAGATTCTATTTGCTCCCTCCTCATTCTCCCTTTTCTTTGGCCCTCCTGCAGAGCCAGTGTGTCCTTTACGCAGCATATTGACAAAAGTTATGCATTAATCTGTCATACACATCATCACTGGGAAGAAGAATCAAAACATCACATTCTTGTGTTGTTTAAATGTTAAATCAGATTGTGATTAAACATTTAAGTTTGCCTTATAGGGTGTTTTTTGTTTATGTAATAGGTTCTTATGTAAATGAAGGGGCTTAATGGAAACAAACCCTGTTTTTTGGTTACACTTGGGAACTATTGAAATTCTGTCATTTTTAACATTTAGTGAGAGATTATTTGCAGGATTTAACATTGTCACAAGTACTGTGACAATAATTTGAAGCCCATAATAAAAGGCTCTAGCTTGAGCAAGGGATTAGAACCAGTCTCGTCTCTGTGATCCACATGTGCGATTAAGCCATTATTTTTATTTGTTCAAGGATTATTTGAAATGCCTGGTATGCCTTGTGGTTAGCTTTATGTTACGTTTGTACAAACTAATTTGTAGTTTGTTTATTGATACACAGGTTATCACACTTTTTTCAAGACTTTTCCAGGATAGATAGAGAACAGCTAGACTATTATTCAAGCTCAAAGAAAGACTCAGGGACTGTTATCAGGGATCTACCTCATTCAAAGTCCAGTTACCATCCAAAGCCCCTGTACAGTGAGCAGCAGAGCAGAACAGAACAGTGTTCCACCTTAGTGATATACTGACAAGTCTGTCCAACTTGGCCTACCAAGATTTGAATAAACCCTTTGTCCTTCACACCAACACATCAAATGAAGGTAAAGGGAGCAGTACTCTGTCAGCGACAGGAAAATAAACTCTGAATCATTGCAGATGGACTCAGACCTCTCCACCTGCTCAGTAGAATTACCGTCCCCATTCCAGCAAGCTGGAATATCTTCCTTTACAGGGGGTTATTTAGGGTAAATTAGGTATTATATCCACTATGCTGGCTTTCTATGCACACTATGCAGTATTTCCCTTATTTACATATTTAGCACTGCAAAGTCAAAGGCCACCATACATAGCTGGGTGTGGGAGTCGGCTGACGTTTTATTTCACCATAAAGTACAGACCTGGGATGTTGATGTTGCTGATGCCAACACCTGCTTTAACGTTACCCTGTTCCTCATAAACACCATCTCCATGAGTACACAGATGTTATGCCTCCAGAGATTCTCCAGAGAGTCTCTGCAATCTGGCAGAAGAACAAAGCTGGTGGTGTTCAATGAGTGTCTGCATTAGATTTACACTACAGTGATGACAGAGTAAAACCTAAAGGCATCCCAGTGATAATCCGAGGAAACAGTGATAATCCGAGTGATAATCCAAGGAAATTCCCTACCCAGGGAATGATCCTGCTCTCAGTGAGGTGATAGACCTCAAAAGGAGAGGATAGAGTCCTATACTAAGAGTTAAATGAGTCAAAGACTAAGGCTGAAACAGTTAATCAGATTAATCAGAATAATCATGATTAATCGATTATTGAAATAATCATAAACTAATTTAGTAATCGACTAATCATTTACTGGAGTTTTGGAGACTGTAAGATATGCCTTTATTCAGCAATTATTCCAGAATTGTAAAAAAAAAAATAAACAAAAATTTTGCATTTAAGATAAAAAAAAAAGCTTTTTCGTCTGTCAGCATGCTCTATCCAGAACTCCTCAAGTGGAATCGGTTTAGTTTCACCTGGTTTAATTTCGTAAAAAGTCTTCTTTAGGAACATTTGGCTATCCAGTTATTAATAGAAATAAAAAAAAGTAACACATTAATTGATTTGGAAAATAATCATTACTTGCAGCCCTATCAAGGACACACATACATGTGCATGCAACAGATCCATAGAGGTTGTACAGAAAAACGGAGCATAGAAACCAACTATTACCTAATGCACCTGGGCCAACTTTTTTTTACTCTGCATGATGACATAAGGACGTATGGGAGCTGATAAAGTCAGCCAGCTTGGTAGAGAGAGCTTGTATGAGCCCTTTATGCAAAATAACATTATGTCATTCACCAGGATTCATGTAATAGAGAAGCAGCTTGAATAATCCCCAGAGAGCATGAATGGGTTCCATAACAGTCTTGGATATAGTTTTCTTCGCAGCCACCAGACGGATTTTAAACAGATTCCGGTCCTTTCTACGGACGGTTTTCTGCAGGTGCCCCAAATATAACGCAAGACAAGAACAAGGTATCTTATACATCAGTATCTAACACACAGCTGAGCGAATATTGTAAAAGAACAGTTGTATTTCCTCATATCTCGAAAAAAAAATGTGTGTTTGGTCTGAATTTATTATGTTTACAGAGAATCCATCAAGATTGTTGGGTTTGTTTTTTTACTGTTAATTTGCAGCGTGATAAAATATTGGATTTGTTTATTCCAGGCAACTTCTTCCAGTTTGTGTGACTCCGTTGCAGCTCGGTGAGCTTCCCACATATGATGCTAATTCCCTTCTGGGATTTCTTCACCAAAGTCTCGTTCCCCTTTTTCCTTTGACATACAAAGTTGACTCTCCTCTTGAACCCATAGGATGGTTATGCAATACAAAACCCTTGGTATAAGTTTATTGTATGCTGATATAAATGTCTTTATTATTGCATGTATTTTGTCCTAATACTATTTTCATAGCAGTCTTGCATTTGCAAGTGTGTTCCTAAAAGCTTTTCATTTCACCCTGTTAATAATGTGGAATTTAGGGTTATATTATCGGGTTAAAATGCTTTATCGTGAACAATTCACTCTAGTGTTCTAATTTTTTTCCAATGTAAGTCATTTTATTACAGAGTACCATTTTTCTGCAGTAAATTGAAATTTTCCTTATTTTGTTTGAAGCATCTCATTTTCAAGTTGGGCAAGAGCAGAAAAAACAAGGAGATGTTAACAATACCGTATGTTGAATCTGTGTTTTTACGATGTTAATTAATGCTAGGCTTTTTATTATTGTTATATTATGATAATATTAAGAAGCTTAATAAAAATAATGTTATATATACAAAACAGAGAGATCATCAACAAGGAGGAGACAGCAGGTCATCTGTGGTCCAGGTATGGACAGGGTGTCTGCCACTTGGGTCCAGCCAGGTCTCTCGGTGTGGTCAAGGTGTCCGATCTAAACTAGGAGTCAGGTATTGGAACTCTCCTGCTGCAGCATCAGGTCCACGGCAGCCTCCACGTCTTCCACAACATGATTTGGTTCCACTAGAGCCGACTCTAGTTTTAGGTGTTTCTGCCCATGGAATACCATCTCTGAGATGTTCTGGTCACCAGGTAGTGGCGAGTGAGGGTTATACACACCTGTGCACACCTAAGGACAGATACAGGATCATTTTAACCACTTCCTGATTTTAACTGGAATAATGTGATCTTTCTTTCTTCAGTTCTTCAAGTAAAAACAAGAGAAGTTAAAGCATGAGAAATTGATATTATTTAGTGATGTAAAATAATGTAGCAGCTCAGAATATTATACGTATCTTTTCATATTCTAGAACTGTGCTGTGCAAAGGTGGCTGCATGTAGCTGTGCTAGATTGATGGATTCCTCCATTTCCGGATTAGAGTTGCTTGTTTCTTGTTACATCTGATATGATGCATACCCACACCAACAAGTTTTTGTTTTATTTTTTCTGGGAGTAGCTGATTAGAATCTCAAAAGCCTAACATAATACTTCAAATAAAAGCTCACATCCCAGATGAGTTAAAAATGAGGGGCTGAGAATGCAGAAGCAAGGAGAAGAGAGAAAGAGGAAATTCTAGCCGTCTCTTACACCAATTAAAACGAATATGAGGTAAATAACGGGTAAATAATTAGGATGGACTCCCAGCCCAGCAAGGAATCAGTTGGAATTGAGACAGAGTTTTATGACTCACTGATAGATAACTGTAAGATCATTAATTGATTGTTTACAATTCCCTCTGTCTGCATAAAAGCAGCGTTGGAACACATTGTGGTATCATACACTCATGAATATCAGTTGAACAGTGTTATACTGCAGAAAGTAGTCTGTTGCTACAAAAACGGTGGAAAAGAGCAATAAACAATAGAAAAGAGTGTTTGGACTGCTTTGATCTAGTTGAGCTGTCTGGGTTAACAGAATTACCTTCATCTAAACCTTTTACTTGTAGGTTAGACCCAATCAGATTCAATTGATTTAAGGAAGTATTCCTTAAATCAATCAATCTGATTTCCAACCCTACTTTTAGATATGACTAATTAATCCCTAATACATGGATATGTATTGCAGATTTTTGTCTTGTATGTACCAGCGATAAAGTTTGACTATATGATCAGGTAGCTGTAATTAACTTTACATAAGGAGCCTTCACTTGATCGAATGACTTCATCGAGGATAACCCTTAATTTAACTTTCCTTAATTAGCTACAATTCTTAAGAGAATTTTTGAAAATCAAGTTTGGGAGCAACCGTAATGACCTTTTTGAAGAGTTTCAATCAGGTTGTAGAGTTCAGCAGTGAAACAGCACTGGTGAAAATCACTAATGATGTTCTCATGACCTCAGATAATAGACTTGTCTGTACGTCCTATTACTATTAATTAGGTTACTTATGGAGTAACACAGAAATCAGTGCGAAGGCTAATTCTCTTTATTAGAGACAGACAGACAGACAGACAGACAGACAGACAGACAGACAGACAGACAGACAGACAGACAGACAGACAGACAGACAGACAGACAGATAGATAGATAGATAGATAGATAGATAGATAGATAAAATAAGCAATCAGAATGGGATCCCACTATTATACCAATGATACTATATTTGTCAATAAATCCTGATTAATCTAACCTTTTTACGATAGAATACAGACATTTATTGAAAATGTAAAAACCTCGATGGGTTTAAATCTTCTAATTTCGAATTAAAACAAGAAAAATGACATTAAAAAATGTCTCCACCTACCAAGATGGAGCGACACTGAGCTGTAAGTGGCGGTTCTTCTTCAGTCATGATCGCTTGGGTTCCCTGGGCCACCAATTTGGTGCCACGTGTTGTTTCAGTGTGATGCTTTGCCAGGTAGCGATTATAAAGGTTGGCACCGTAGATGTCCGTCATAAGGTTGTCTCTAGATGGAAAGAACAAAGTCCAGTTTCTTAATAAAAAGTAATCAAGATATTGTTGTTAATGGGCTTTAATGAGTCTGTCATGTAAAGCCAGGAGTAATCAATGACCTTTATAATGACAGTGACATTTATTATTGAATTAACTTTTTACAAAATCCTTTAAGGATCTCTAGAGATTATTATACAGAGAATAATCCTTAATTTTAATGTATATAATTATAGACAACCCAGAGCACGGTCTTAATTAGATTGATGTGTGTTAAAGGAATTTGTTTAAATTAATTGGTGTCGCACATTTCAGAGCAGAGTTATGAAGGGCTTTACGGTGTGTACAAAAAAATCAGTTAAGCGTGAAAGAAATAAAAAAAATTTTTTGTTGTTGTTGTTGTTTTTTAACAGTGTCCTGTCTGGCAATGTGGCAATAAGAATAAAATTATTGATGCCAAAAAAGGGCCCAACAGATTTTGCTTTCACAAGTGGAGCAGTACGGCTATCGCCATAGTGTTCCGCTTGATTTATGCATATAAATACCTTTATTATGATTATGCAGGGAATATTACAGATTATATGGACACTGCAATGTAAATAGAACAGGAAAGGAAAAAGGAGAAAAGATGAAAAAGGAGATAAAAGGGAGATAAAGATAAAACGTCTTCAGTCTGCTTCATCACAAATAAAACAATATACTTAAAAAAATCATGCATAGACTTAATTAATGCCCAACCTACAGTAAAGAATTTAAAAAAGATCTATAGTAGGTCACTGAAAAAAGTGATTAATGTTAAGTGGTGCAGTGGGTTGCACTGCTGCCTTGGAGCAAGAAGGGTGTGGGTTTGATTTCCAGCCTGGGGTCTTTCTACATGGAGTTTGCATGTTCTCCCTGAGCATGTGTGTATTCTCTCTGGGTACTGAATAAGAAAAACTGAATAAGCCTCTTGGATGAGAGGCCAAACGTCTTCTAGAAAACCTCATGTCCAGTTGCCTAGATTGAACTTTTTCAAGCTTGACCATGACCTGGATGTCTGAGAATCTTTACAGATATGTTCAGATACTGGAGGCAGGTTCCAGACACTGGCTGTCAGAAGTTTTGCAGATTTATTCTTTACCCAACAGCGTAGATGGTGGACAGCTTGTGGTTTTGGTTCTGCTGACGCAGCAGCTGCTCAGCATACTGGTATGTGATCAGACTGGGTTTTCCCAGCACCGCCTCGTACTCCAGCTCTCGACCCGTCAGCTTCTTGTAGACAGACTCCAGACAAACGAGAAACATCCCATGACCAAACCTGGAGCAACACATTAGATTCATTACTGGTTACACGCTCTCCAGTTTCCCCTTTATTTAAAGTTATGTGTGTGGTGGTTGTTACCGTGGTGATGGAGCGTCAGCCATCCACAACAGGTCCATGTTACAGGCAAGAACAGGCATTTGAGCTGACAGCTGAGTGTCATACGCACAACCTGGTCTACCATTGGTTAGAAGCACATCGATGATCAGCTGCAGGTTGGTCTCCCATCTGACTGGCTCCCCAAACAGGATGATCGCTATGGTAACCATGTAAAGACAGTTTTAGACTCATCAAATAAACATTAATTTTCTATGGTGGCATAAGCATGCAGCTTTGGACAAACCCTGCCTGCATAGTTCATTCACTTCAGAAACCTTTCATCAAATAGTTGAAGGATTTGTGCACAGAATCATTTTCTCCTCATTTTAACCCAAACAGATCATCTATTCAGCCTTGTCGTCCTACAGAGCTCCTGATCGTTAACCTTGTTAGACATTGTCACATGGTTAATTTTCTCTATCCCAGTGCCATGTGCGCTATATTTTCTGATCAGGAATCAGTGTGTGAAGAAAGTTCTTTTAGGTTTTCTGAGGTGGCTGAAATGAATAATATGAGGGAATTAAATGTGGCACATTGTGGTTATAGTACCTTGTATCTGAGGAAGGGTCTGTGAAGAACAGGGCTGAAACAAACACAGTAAGAAATATAAATCAGTAAGTTTAATCATAAACAGCAAGCACAGCTCCTCTATGTATGCAAGTAATCATTGAAAACTACACTTTAAGTAGAACTCCAAAATTGAACAATCAATTTAAATTAAACTTACAATGTCTGTTGGTAAATGTCAAAGATAATTTTAAGTTTTTAAAAGACATTCAATATGATATTAGTAGAAGCTTCCCCTTTAAGTACGTTAAAGGGCCTGTGATATTTTAAATCATTTTCTTTTAGCAATTACTTCACCAAAATCACGCAAAAATTGGGATTTTTCCTAAATTAATACATTTCTAATCCCAATCCCTAACCCTAATCGCGATGAGAGACATCATGAAAAGGGCAGCAGGGGCGTCTCTAGGTTTAAGACACAAGGGTGGCTCAGCCCCTAGAAGATAATGCGCGCACGTAGCGCGCGCCGAATTTTTTCAGTGCACCTGCTAAGGCGTTGTCTAAGACAAGGGTGTAACTTTGTGTTGAAAGTTGGTGGGGACGGCTCATAAGGAAAGGGAGCTACCTGCGCGACGCCTTTTTTTTTTTGTTGGAAATGATAAAGCCAAAAAAATGCGAATAACATTTATCAATTTAATGCTTACAGTTGAAAACATAACTGTTACAATATTCACTTATATATTTTGTGCAAAAAATATCACATAAATCTAAACAGACAGTACAAATCAAATAAATATATCAATTTTGTAGAACATTTATTGACAGTCAATTTTGGGTCACTTTTTAAAATTAATTTACTTTTAAACCAGGTCTCGGACAAGATCTTATGGGACCTTAAGCAGAATATGATTAAGCAACTCCGTCTTTCTGTCAAGAACATCCACCAGCAGGGTATCCAGGGGGGGATTTACCATTAGGCAATACTAGGCAGTTGCCCAGGGCCCCAAGTTCTGGGGGCCCCATAAAACTCTGTTTCCATGTATGGTTAATACAACTAATCCTTATTTGTGCACATTAATTATGTTTTTGATAAAAATCCTTTGGCTAAAATGCCATCAGAACGCTGATAAATAGAGAGGAAAAAGGGACAAGAAGAGAGGGACAAAACCTAGAACAAATAATGGATGTCTATTCTATTAACATTTCTCTATCTGTAGAATGGGTCTGTTTTATGGGTTTTCTTCTCAGGGGGCCCCCTGCCTGTCTTTGCCTAGGGCCCCAAATTTCCTAAATCCGCCCCTGAGGGTATCAATACTGATTTGATAGAATCAGCGGACTATGTTCAACCATCCATTTTCTTTAACCTTATCCCTCAGTGGGATCAGGAGGTGCTGGTGCATATCTCTAGCCATGTTCTGGGTGAGAGGTGGGATCACCCTGGACAGGTCACCAGTCTGTCGCAGTATGTTCAACCAGCTTAAAAGTAATCGGTAATCAGATTTATTATTTGCACTTTTACTAAGTGAACTTTCTAACTCCCTTAAATCTGAAATTCCAATGCCAAAATTGTTTAAATCTTTTATCTTTGGACCCCCTGCAGAGTGACGTCACACCTGCAAGATCCTATCCTTACCTTCCTGCTAGATTGCAAAAAGCAGCTTGCTCATGAGTTGTCAACTTAACACGCTAAATCTTAAATGTACGTGTACATATAAAAGAAAAAGGGGCGCAGTGCTTGCTACTGAATGGCAACACTATCAAGGTCAGGAAAATGTTTTAAGTAAAGCCAGGATTAAAACAGTAGCTTCAAGAAGCTTCAAATAAAAGGTGTTCTTTATGTTCAACCTAAACACCAACTCCGATAGACCATCAGTAGAGCAGGTGTTTAAATTAATCAATCACTGCTGCGAAAGCTTATAGCAGTGAAAGCTAATATACCACAGCCATCACTTAATAAACGCAAAATAAACAACCCTCTAAAAACGGAAAACTGTAATGGACTGAAAGTCCTGTTTTTTTATGTGGGAAATTATTTGCGTGTGTTTTAGTATAATTCTGATATATTGGCGCTGTTGTCTGTTTCTATGGCAACGATACTGAATGTAGTGTAGCTTAGAGACCTGCATGGGTCGAGTTTTACCAACCCGCACCCGCCCGAACCCGTTAGGATGACTACCGAACCCGACCGTCACCCGCGGATATCTTCAATTCAAATGTTATGGGTAGAGGTTGGAGGGGGGTGATGGGGAGAAAGCGAGAGGCAACAGATTCTTTTTTCTGAGTTTTTTGTCGGGGTTTGTGGACGGTGAGCAGCGGGGAGAACTTTTTTTATTTTCTTTCTGAGGAGCGGCATGAATGGGGTTTTAATCAGAAATACACAGCACCGAAAGCAAAATACGTGTACAAAATATTGGTGGGGACATGTCCACACCAGTCCTTAAGGAAGTTACGCCTATGATTGTTCAGATTAACTTGTCTTCTTTATGGCTTTTATTCGGTGCTTTACTGCATTTGTTTTGGGAAAATATGAGGAAAAAATAAATACAGAAAAAAAAAATATATTTTTTAAAATCGCAAAATAATTATAGGGTGGCTAATGCCAAAGAAAGGGTGGCTGAAGCCACCCTTAAATAGGTCTAACGACGCTTATGGGCAGCACCCAAACGCTGCTATGATTTACTTTTCATAGATGTAGTATTTTCCTCTGCTGTCCAGTCTTTTTAATGTTTTCTAGTCTTATGTGAATCTGTATGCTTTCATTTGCCATTGACACACCTGAATTTACCAACTGAGGGACAAGACAGGCTATGCTATTCCACTCAGACTCAGGTTGACTGATTCTGTAAAATGTAACTTATTTAGTTTTCAACGTTTGTTTATCAGAATGCAGCTAATGAAAGAAACAGACAGATGAAATACAAGAATATAGTGCAGTGGCGGTTCTAGACCAAATGTACCAGGGGGCCAGGAGGGGGCCAGCATGTTTTAATGGGGGGGACAGAAAAGCATGAAATAAAAAGAAAAATTATATAAAAGATATATTAAGAAAGCTGCATGAAGTGAAATTTCTATTCAATTAGGTTTAATTAAAATTCTATTTCTTATTAGGTCAATATACATTCATCATTTTACATATTTTTGGTTTAATTTCAGTTAAGATTACAATTGTCTCTAAAATCTGAATTAGAACTCAAGAAAAACTGTTAAATTCAGCTGTAAAAATTAGAGCAATTTGTTTTGAAAAAAACATTTAGCAGATGAAAACTGGGATCCTATCTCAATACCACTGAAGCTATCAGCCTATTGTTTTTAAGTAATTAGTAAAACAGAATTTGTAAAGAAAAAAAGGAAATAGATCCAAAGGAGCTATCAGTAACCATGTCTGTTCCAGCGCAGATCATCATTAGAGCTTCTTTGAGTGTTATGGCTTCAGGACAGGGGCCATGATGGGGGCCAGGACATGATCTACAGGGGCACTGGCCCCCGTTGGCCCCTGTCTAGAACCGGCCATGATATAGTGGTGATTTTAGAGGTTCCAACTAGTTAGACAACCTAAAGGGATGTCGTGCAAACTTGAGCAACTAGGTGGCAGCATTTACCACTGACTGTCGCTTTGATAAAGTAGTTTAAATATTTAGGTGATACTAATGAAAATATTACTTTAGGGCATTAAACATCAGCTATGAGAATCAGAAAAAAACAACTTTTGAATCAGGACATAGTTTCAAAGAACTGATCTGATTGGTCAAGACTCACTGTGTGTGTAGGTCTCCTGCTGTGGTCTACCATGTCCAGCAGAGGGTGCTGTTCTGAAAGCTGCTCAATGGTTATTACATTCTGGAAGCCCAGGCTGAGAAATACCGGGTCAGGGTCCAAAACATGAGGCAAAAACATCTGATAGGGAAACATCTTTATGCTTTCATCTGCATTGTTTTGAGCCATGTGTTTCTTTGCAAAGCTTCTAACAGTTTTAGTTTCAAATCACTTTAGGTTCTGTCGTTAGTTTCTGACAACAAATAATAGAAAGATGGCTGAATTTGTAAGGTGACAGGTGACCTGACCTGTTAGAGTTGCCAGTGAAGGATACGTGTGGGCAATCTGGGTCATTGGTCCCTGCCCCGACACCAGTACACACTTATTGTGGAAACTCTCCATCATGTGCAGAGGACTGTGTGACAGAACCACCTGCTCAGGTCTAATCTGCAAAGAAAGCAGAGAACTTGTTCTGATCCAGTCTCATGACACCAACAACATGAACTCTGTGTCACTGGAAGCAAGTCATAAAATCTCTCGTTCTACCTGCATGTCCAGCTTGTTGGACAGCTGCTGTGCCTTGTGGTGTCTCGTGCAGCTTCCTGCGTTGGTGACGAAAACAACAGGAAACATGAACTTATTGTTTCTGTCCACAAGTTTCCGGAGAGCTCGCTGGGCCGCTGGGATCACCGTCCCACCGCGGAGGAGGACACCATCAACGTCAAAGAGGACGCCAGCCTGGTGGACAGGTGAACGACAGGTGATGTGGGGAGATTTGCTTTGAGATACTGATTTGGAATAAACTGGACTGATTGGTGGATGATGATGATGGTGATGATGATGACTGGTAACTACAGTTGAGATTCTCAGTTTAATCCTGTAACAAATGGACTAAATCTGCACGGGGTCCTGTACTGGTCCAGACATTCTGTCTGTCCTCACAAAGGACTGTCAGGCCAACAGAATAGAAAGAAAGAAAGAAAGAAAGAAAGAAAGAAAGAAAGAAAGAAAGAAAGAAAGAAAGAAAGAAAGAAAGAAAGAAAGAAAGAAAGAAAGAAAGAAAGAAAGAAAGAAAGAAAGAAAGAAAGAAAGAAAGAAAGAAAGAAAGAAAGAAAGAAAGAAAGAAAGAAAGATTTCCATCTCACTGACCTGTCTGATGGTGGACGCGTGGCGGACAGCCTGCTGCAGGAGACCTCGACTCCACATGATGCCTGTCTGGCCCTCAGACCGTCTTCTTCTTCTTTATAACTACAGGGCTCTGAGGTCATAGCAGGGGGGTGGGGGTTTGGCTGAATAACTGATATGAATCTGGCTAGCTGCTATTGGATCATTACCTCCGACCAACAAGTTCCTATTCATTCTATTGGTGTAGATTCTACAGTAAATCTACAGCAGGTTAAGCAGAACTTTTTGAATAGGACCTTGAGACTAACCTTGAACCTGGCTCTTGTTTATTTTGCGATCAGCTCCATGTTAACAACCAAACCTAACATATTTGAGTCAGATCAGTTACAAACTGGACTGAAATCCTGCACCTTTTAGATGTGTCTCAGCTTGAATAAACTGGAATCAAATAATCAGGCCATTAGCAGAACTCTGGTGAACTTCATGCTGTGGAATCCAGCCATTTGGTTCAGGAGTGGATGCAGAGACACAACTAAAACCTGCCAGACAACTGACCTCAAGGGCCAGACTAGAGAAAGCCTTCAGTAGACCCTAGCATTGTTCCTCTGCTTCCTGGTAACTTTCCTCAGATACAGACAAAGGTTCCTGTAGTTTAGACCTAGGATTTTCTGGGTCCCTGTGATGTTCTTCAGCTTCAGAGCAATGTTTATCTGGTTCCCAGTGATGTTCGTTTGGTTTAGACCAGTATTCCACAGGTTCTAAGCAACATTTATCCATTTCAATCCAAGGTTCCATTAGTTCCGGGGAATATTTCTCCGGTTCAGTCTGGAGTTCTTCTGGTTCCCAGTGATGTTTCTCTGGTTCAGGGTGATGTTCCACTCGTTCCCAGTGTTGATCCACTGGTTCCCAGCGATGTTCCACTGGTTCACAATGATGTTCCACTGGTTCTCAACGATGTTCCACTGGTTCTCAGGACCTTCCACTGGTTCCTAGCGATGTTCGCCTGGTTCAGATTGATGTTCCACTGGTTCCCAGCGATGTTCCTCTTGTACAGATGGACATTCCACTGGTTCCCAGCGATGTTCCTCTGGTTCAGATGGACATTCCACTGGTTCCCAGCGATGTTCCTCTGGTTCGGATTGATGTTCTGCTGGTTCCCAGCAATGTTCCGTGGTTCCCAGCGATGTTCCTCTGGATCAGATTGATGTTCTACTGGATCCCAGCAATGTTCCATGGTTCCCACCAATGTTCCTCTTGTTCAGATTGATGTTTCTCTGGCTCTCAGCAATGTTCCACTGGTTCCCAGCGATGTTCCTCTGATTCAGCCCGAGATTCTCATGGTTCCTTGCGGTATTGCTCTTGTCCAAATTGAGGTTCCTTTGGTTCCCAGTGATGCTCCTCTGATTCCCATTGATGTTCATTTGGTCCACAGCCATTTTCCACTGGTTTAAAGTAATTTTCCTCAGGTTCACAGCGACGTTCCTCAGCTTTACAATAAAATTCCTGTATTTAAGACTGGCTCCTACCAATTTTACTTCAGATTAGACCTAAGTGATAGAACATCTCTTGCTTCTTTTCTCTCACTTTGGGACAATGTTCTCAAGGTTCTGGTTCTGGATCTCTTATCTGACTTTGGGACAATGCTCTCATAGTTCTGCCTCTAAAGCTCTCTGAGAGTGAATACTGTGAGGGTAGTTCTTGACTTTTGAAACAGAACCACCAAGATCATCTTGCAGCAGCAAACTGGGTCAGACGTCTCTGAGGGCAGCAGGAACAGAACCTGAAGCATTGAACAGAACCTGGAGCTGATTAAATGCAGCTGACTGCAGTTCTCTCCTCACATGATGCCATGTGTAGCATGCGGTCATTAATCAGCCAATCACATGCTGCAGAGGCATGCCTCTAATCAACCAATCAGAACCAGGCTCTGATAGCAGGACTGGGACAGAGACGCTGTCTGTTGGGTATCAGAACTGAGTGACAGCATCTCAGAACTGATTTTAATGTTTTAAATAACCAGGCCCGTATGGAGGTCATGTGACCACCATCTCAGGGTTTTGTTTCTGGATCTAAGGGCGCCTGTGCTGCTGACGTCGTGAATCGATGTCGATAATGAAGATCCCATTAACAGCTCTTGTTACTGAGATATGGGCGGACCCAGCAAGTCAAAGCTTATTTAATAGGTAGGATGGTGTGGGCATCAGTACCAGAAACTACACTTGGTTTCAATAACACCAGTTCTCAATGTTTGTTTTGATCCATATTATATCTGAGGTTGTTCTAAGTCTTTAGCTTTGCTGTTTCTGAGCTTTTAATTGGATCTAAACCTAGACGCTACTTTTTTTTGGAATGCTGTTTAAGTCTAAGAGAGAGTTATGTTGATTCAGAATCAAATTTACCAACACTGGAGCTTTAAAATGAGTCTAAAGTGATTAAACAGGGAGGCATCAAGGTTCACTCTCGCTAGATCAAACTAGAAAAAGGTCTTTCTGAACAGAATGGCTCACAGTATCAACAAACTGAACTTGATGTTTGGGTCTAAAAGGCCAATTTCTGTTTCAGCAGAGATCATTTTCAGATGATTAACCAGCAAGAAATTTCTCTGAGGTCAACATGTTTCTGCGTTGATACAGAGATTAATTAAATCCAGTAATTTCTATTCTAATTCTAAAAATGGCGGCAAGTTCTGATCAGACACTGGTCCAGAATATCTCATAGCCCATGTTCACAGACCTTTGCATCAACGCTAGACACTGCTTCTGGTCTCTTCACATAACAGAACTGTGGAAAATATATAATAATAATCATCAATAAGGTGGAACAGTGTTGAAAAAAAATTAATACAGATGAATTTGAACATTATTTCAAATCCTAACTATAAAATGCTCTAAATCTAAATATCTGGGTCATATCTGTGCAAACTCTCTGTCATGCAGGTCAAGGCAAACAAGAATAAAACTTTAATCAGAGGTGACAGGATTTTTTGATGTGTTTCTAAAAAAAACATTTTGACACCTTTCCAGGAGTCTTTGTCAATTTTGACGGTTCATAAAAGAGCAAACTGCAGTTGGAGCATCAATGTTTTAAAGCCCATTCTATTCAGATTTCCATCAAACAACCACAGCAGAATTATATATGAGTTTTACATCTACAACTGTGTCCTGCACCTTTTTCCAAAGATACATGCAGTTTCAATAAGATTCAAAATCTGAAACTCATGCAGAGCAATGGGTGCAGTGGCGGTTCTAGACCAGATGTACCAGGGGGGCCAGTTTTCATGGGGGCCCAAAAAAACATGAAACTAAAAGACAGGGCAAGGGATTCAAATATATTAAGATAATTTTCAATTGAATTAGGTTTAATTAAGATTATGTCTCTTCAAACTGATAATACTCATTTTTGGTTCGAAAATGTTCATTTGGATTATTGTTAAAATAAAAATAAAAAATCCCTCAGCATAGCAAAAAATTCAGCTGTAAAAACTAGAGTATTTTTTATTTGTTTTTAAAAAAAACTTTTAGCAGATGAAAACTGGGATCCTATCTCAATCCCACTGAAGCTATCACCTTATTGTTTTTAAATAATTAATAAAACTGATTTTTTTTTAAAGAAAAAAAATGAAATAGATCCATTTCTGTTCCAGCGCAGATCATCAGTAGAGTTCCTTTAAATATTATGTCTTCGGAAAAGGGCAAGAACATGATCTACAGGGGCACTGGCCCCTGCCTAGAACCGCCCATGAATGGGTGGGTCATTGCACCCCTCTGTAACTGGGCCCCTGATGCTGTAATTTAAAAAAAGCAAGTATGCAGAAATGTAACGTTGCTTATATTGACTTATTTAGTTTTCCTGAAGAAGCTTAGGTTGAATAGTGATAGTGAGAAGCTGTGTAATACACACATTGGGTCATTTCAGAAACTAGATCTAAAGGTTTACAGGTGCTGGTCATAAAATTAGAATATCATGAAAAAGTAGATTGATTTCAGTAATTCCATTTAAAAAGTGAAACTTGTATATTATATTCATACATTACATACAAACTCATATATTTCAGATGTTTATTTTGTTTAATTTTGATGATTACAAATGACAACAAATGAAAATCTCAAATTCATCATATCAAAAAATTAGAATATTGTGAAAAGGTTCAAAATTGATGGCCCCTGGTGCCACACTCTAATCAGCTAATTAACTCAAACCACCTGCAAAAGCCTTTAAATGGTCTTTCAGTCTAGTTCTATAGGCTACACAATCATGGGGAAGACTGCTGACTTGACAGTTGTCCAAAAGACGACCATCGACACCTTGCACAAGGAGGGCAAGACACAAAAGGTCATCGCTAAAGAGGCTGGCTGTTCACAGAGCTCAGTGTCCAAGCACATTAATAGAGAGGCGAAGGGAAGGAAAAGATGTGGTCGAAAAAAGTGTACAAGCAAGAGAGATAACCGCACCCTGGAGAGGATTGTGAAACAAAACCCATTCAAAAATGTGGGGGAGATTCACAAAGAGTGGACTGCAGCTGGAGTGAGTGCTTCAAGAACCACCACACACAGACGTATGAAAGACATGGGTTTCTGCTGTCGCATTCCTTGTGTCAAGCCACTCTTGAACCACAGACAGCGTCAGAAGCGTCTTGCCTGGGCTAAAGAGAAACAGGACTGGACTGCTGGTGAGTGGTCCAAAGTCATGTTCTCTGATGAAAGTAAATTTTGCATTTCCTTTGGAAATCAAGGTCCCAGAGTCTGGAGGAAAAGAAGAGAGGCACTTCATCCACGTTGCTTGAAGTCCAGTGTAAAGTTTCCACAGTCAGTGATGGTTTGGGGTGCCATGTCATCTGCTGGTGTTGGTCCATTGTGTTTTCTGAGGTCCAGGGTCAACGCAGCCACATACCAGGAAGTTTTAGAGCACTTCATGCTTCCTGCAGCTGACCAACTTTTTGGAGATGCAGATTTCATTTTCCAACAGGACTTGGCACCTGCACACAGTGCCAAAGCTACCAGTACCTGGTTGAAGGACCATGGTATCCCTGTTCTTAATTGGCCAGCAAACTCTCCTGACCTTAACCCCATAGAAAATCTATG